TACCTTTAACATCTTTTTTTTTTTTTTAGTAGCATCTTCGAAAGTGAGTATAAATTAGAATCTGGCATTTGTTGCAATGATGATTCCTCGATCCGCTTTAAAAATTCCTTCAACCTTACATAGGAGGTAGGAATTTGTGTTTATATATACTTTAATTTGTAAAGGGAGAGTAAAAAAAAATAAAAAATTGAAGAGACTCGAAGCCTCACTTACTTGATTCTGCGGGTGCTTGCACCCATATTATCAGAATCAAGGAGTTCAACCCGCACGGACTTAGCTCAATGGTTTAATGGACAGTATTTGGGGTAAGAGACCAAGATTCGAACTTCGGCGGCGACAGTATGGAAATTATGTTCAAAGTGGAATTATGTCCAAAGTGAACAGATTTCTTGTGTGCACCGATATTATATCCAAAGTGGGCAGGCCCTCTCTACTAACCCCACGACACATTTGTTCCTCTGGCTACGTTGGCTTATATGTATATATGAACAGTGCTGTAGGTTTATTAGGTCACCACACAGTATACACTACATAACATATTATATATATCCAAACAGTTCCATTTATGTTTGTGATGATAAAATCTATTCTGCAGATTTTTAAGTCTGTAAATTTCCAGCTCACCCCTCTGTCATGCATTATGGGAAAGCAAAAAGAAGACGACATGACACGGTCTGTTAACGTTGTATAAAGTCATATATGATCCAACTGAGGAGTCAAAGGACAGATGGATGGCCAAGATTGCTTTGGAGACCATCTTACTTTTTTTTCTTTTTTCCTCTCTTTTTCACCAATAAGGAACCGTTGCAAAAGAGATAGATGAAGGCATGGAAACTTTACAAGCAGATTAGTAAATGGGTTGACCACAACCATTGGGGTGGGGTAGGGGGGTGATAGGGGTAGGGGGTATAGGAGTATAGGACCCAACCTCCATGTATAAACATATATGATTGCACCATGAATGGCCCCCCATTATATTGATTCAGAGAAAAAGGATTTCCTGCAATTTTTATCCTTTTAACATGATTACTTGTCCTTCATTTATTAATTATTATTGTTTTGGTTATATGGTCAAATAATAATGATAATTATGTGTCCTTTATCGTGAACACAAACATTTTCTTTTGCAAATTCTTATAAATTCATCATTTCTAAATGTTTGCAAGTAAATGACATGTTTCAGCTCAAAGTTGGTTGCATCCATGGGTTGTAATGTTGTATAGGGATAGATGCATATAAATTCCCTGTCTATTTAATTTAAAAATACAAATTTATATTATAGAAGTTCACAATTCCAATACTAAAAATACACAATTTATACGTCGTTTAGGATCATGGTCCACCTTGCAAAGTGAATCCTGATTCATGGTATAACAACTCTTTGAACATCATTGTTTTTCTCTTCTCCTGTGTTATGCTGTGGAACCGTGCCCACCTTGTCTATGTTCATAATTACTGAATTTTATATTCACAATTATTAAACTCTATATTCACAATTATAGAATTATATGTTCATAATTACTGAACTCTACGTTCATAATTATAAAATTCTATTTTCGTCATTTTTGAACTTCATATTCATAATTATTGAACTTTATATTAACAATTACAGAACTCCATGTTATAATTATAGAACTCTATGTTCATAATTGTTGAACTTTATATTCACAATTATGAACAGTTTTCGTACCGTGTTCACCTTGCAATGTGAACACGGTTTCACAACATAATTTGCCTTTGATTGTTCCGTGGGCTTTGACTTTCCACATGCAAGGCAATCTTGTGTACTAGTCTTATGGGCCTTGGCCCATTATATTTATATATTTATTAAATGGCAGCCCTCTTTATAAATATTATTTTATGGGCCTACTGTTTTTTAGTACAAGTTTTTTTTTTTTTCTTCTTCTTATTATTTTTTTTTTATCAATTTTGCTTTTATGGTTGACTCGATCTATTACAAATCTTCAAATGTAACATTAATATGTTTTGGTTATATTGTGTAATTTATTTAAATGCCTTCACTACAAATAAGTAAACAAATATATTATTATTATTATTATTTATCTAAAAACATTATATCCATATTATGTCCTTTCTTTAATTTTTTGTGCTAATAAATGTGTATATGATACTTTAAATGTTCTGCACTTCTTTTATTAGATAAATTATCCCTATTATTTCACTTATTGTTAGGTTGATACCATGCATAATCATAAAATTTAGAATAAATTTTACTTTTGGTCCCCATACTATTATTATACATGAATCATATTTGATTATTGACTATTAAAATTTTTCAATTAAGTGCATGATTATGTAATTTGTATCATATTTGGTATTTTCCAACCTAGGTGCATGAAGGATGATATATATGTAACCATAACATTTAGTTTTGCTTATCAATTCTAGTAAGAGGAATTTATGGTTCTTTAAGTAAGGTATTGTGTTCAAACATTAAAGTATTTTCGAAGTTTGATTCTCAGAGAAATTACATAGAGTTAATATCATAAATGATTATTCAACTATTTTAAAATTCTCAAATTGAGTCACTTGATCAAATTTTCAGCATAAAAAGGGTAATAATGTTGAAAATTGGTTTAGACTCTCCTGCCATAATGCCATTGTCTTCATTGATCATTGTTACAAGTACCCACAAAAAAAAAAAAATAATAATAATAATAAAATTGTGGGTCTTTTGGATTTATTGTATTTATAACTAAATTTGAGTGTATTAATGTATAGTTTGGTGGTTCCAATGCTTTTTGTACTTAATATGACACATGGGCTGGGTCTGTGCAGACTTATGAACATGATTCATGTAACATAGGACAACATATTTCACTGTTCTTAGTGCATTATTCACTCTCTATGTCAACTACCCAACCAACATGTTCCTCTACCAAAAAAGAACAAGCAGATTTTCCAAAACCCCTGAAATTTTACCCAGAAAATGATACTCTTTTCAATAAATAATAAAGATAATTATTCTAAAAAAAAATAAAATAAAAAAAATAATCAAAACCCATAATAATGTTAATGGGTTGCAACAAAAAAAGTTTCTGAAAGAGTGAAAGCACAGTGTACTTGACCAATCGATCGTCACATCTTGCATTCTGACAATCTCTCCTTGGATTCTTTCTTTAAGGAAAAAAAAAAAAAAGATTTTCTTTTTGCCACTGTAAAATTGCTCCAAGATTTCCAGGATTAGTGTAATTAATAAAAATTAAACATTTGGATGTATCAGTTTAACGAAAACAATGGTGTTACCTTGTCCCGACTCCGACTCGATAGAATAGTAGAAGAGTAAATCACAGCTAACAAGATAGTAGAAATGTAAATTACGGTGTCTCAGTGACTCATTGGGTGGGAGGAACAGTTTTTGGTGTCCATAAAAGAGATCACCATATTAGATGTAAGTATGTAACTTCCATATTGTGGTTGTTACTTGTTATATTGTGTGATTTGTGTCATTTTCTTCGAGGTATCTTAGGGAAGATCAATATGTGGTGTCCACAAAAAATTTACCATATTGGGTGTAATTTATCACATTGTTCAGTTATGTGCATGGTTGAAAAAATCGATAGGTGCTCCTCGGGCACCTGGTGGCGATTAAGGCGCCCGTGTATTTTTTATTTTTTAAAGGCACAAGTGTCAAATAGGCCCATCAACTACTACGAAGTGCTCAATTCCCACCATGAACTAAATTAAGTGTCAAATAAGTCTATCTACCAGCTAAATTCATTCAATTGGCATTTTTTACAAGTTACCAACAGGTTGCCTATTTAATTATTAAAATAAATAATTAAAAATTTTTTAAAAAAAATTTAATTAAAAAAAAAAAGAGAGAGAGAGAGAACAGCCACCGGCTGTCCTCGCCGGACAACCGGTGGCTGCCATTTCAAAGACAGTCGTGACTGTCTAATATGAGGTCCAGATCTGGACCTCAAAGGCCGAGAACGAGGGCGGCGGGCATATGGCCGCCCTCGTTCCATACGGCCATGGCCGTCTAAAAAAAATTTCAAATTTGTTTTTAGACGGCCATGACTATCCGGGGACGGCCATGGCCGTATGGAACGAGGGCGGCCATATGCTCGCCGCCCTCGTTCCCGGCCTTTGAGGTCCAGATCTGGACCTCATTTAGATAGCCATGGCTGTCCGGCTGTCCTCGCCGGACAGCCACGACTGTCTTTGAAATGGCAGCCACCGGCTGTCCGGCGAGGATAGCCGGTGGCTGTTCTCTCTCTCTCTCTCTCTCTTTTTTTTTTTTTTTTTTTTTTTTGTTTAATTTTGTTTAATTATTTATTTTAATAATTAATAGGCAACCTATAAAAAAAATCAATTGAACAAATTTAGCTGATAAATAGATCTATTTGACACTTAATTTAGTTAATGGTGGGAATTGAACACTTTGCAGTAGTAAATGGGCCTATTTGACACTTGCACCTTTTTTAAAATATGTTTAAATTTGTTTAATTTTTTAAGACTAATAATTATAAACTATTTAACCTAAAAAACATCTAGAGTTTTAAAGTTTAGGGTTATTTCGCTCAAACGGATGTCGTTATTTTGAGTAAAATAACTCATTAAGAAAAAATAATAGCTAATCGGCCAGCTAGACGACTTAGTTGGTGCTTAGGAGGCCTAGGCGGTCAGTGTCTAAGCGGCCTAGCCGGCTGATCGCCAGAGTCGGATTTTAAGCCTAGCCGGCCGGTCGGTAGTCGCCTAGACCTTTTGATGATACGCTAGGCAGTCAGCCAGGCCTAACACTTGGGCATGATTTTTGTAACACATATTATGTGTTTTTATTTATAATTTATTACTCTTGACAATGTTGTTACCTTCGTGACTTTTAAGATTGTGTTTTATGGAATGTGATCCAATTTCTACGTACGGATCGCGAAAAATGGTACCATGAAAGAAGCCCGTTAATAATATATGACTGTTTTTATTATTTTTAATCTCTTTTTATTTTTCCTCTGTACAGTAACAAAAACGACAACAGAGCCGAAAGCGTCTGTTCATATATACACACATACACCCAGAATCAATGCAAAGTCTATTCCTCTCTTTACGTCTCTCTTCGTTTCTGGCGATTCGATTGGCTCGCCGGAGGATTGAGTTACTGGACGGAGAGGGGGTCCCGGCGGCGGGTGGAACGAGCCTACTCTTCGGGGAGGTGAGGATCACTGAATTTTTTTTTTTGTCATGCACTGTGAGGGAAACGAATTTTCCCTAACATTATCGATTTATGCGGTGCGGGTTTTCTGAAACTGTGAATGTTTCGTTGTGGTTTGTTTCAGATCTGATAATGTTGGAGTAGAGAACGGGGAATTCAGGTTTGTGGGTATCTTGTCTCGTTAATTTTGATGGCTAATTTAATGTGAAAATTTTGATTCGAGCTTAGGGTTTAAATTCTGTGCATTGATGGAGGAGAGTGTGAGATCAGGGGGCGTAGTGAAGAAGAAAAGCTCTTCTGGTTGTTTAATTATTAGGAAAAAGGATGATAGAGTTGGGGGAATGGGAATGGGAATGGGAATGGGAGGGATCGGTCCTTCAGGATCTTTTCAGAAGGATAGGAAGAGACCCAGGAAGATAATGATGAATGATTCAGAGTCTAGTGATGAGTTGCCCGAACCGAATTCCCATAATGGTTCAGTTATGTATAGGAGTGGGGTTGAGGACAAGGGAATTTTTCGTAGGAATGGGGAGATTGAGAATGATCGGAAGAGGAATAGATTAGGGTTAGAGTTCAACGGGTATAACGAATTTGATAGGAGGAATGAGTATCGAGAGGAGAGGTTGAGGATGATGGGAGGAATGGGGAGTTTGAGGGAATTTGAAAACGGGCCTGTTAGGGATGTGATGATCGAGAAGAGGAAGCACTCGTATTTTGATAGTTCGGGTTCGAGTAATATGGTGAGTGCTAGGGCTAGAGGGGTCGATTATGGTGCTAAGAACAGGTACGAGCAGCATGAGGATGAAGTACATTGTCCCATCTCATCGATGAGGTTGAAGTATCAGGAAGCATCCGATGAGCCAATTAGGGTGCAGGGAAAAAATGGGGTACTGAAGGTTATGGTAAATAAGAAAAAGAAGATGGATTTATTGCATAATAATGAATTCAAGAATGTTGAAAACCGGAAAGCTTCAATGTCTCATGTCAAGAAGGAGCCAAGAGTCCAGCCGGCACTTTTTGCTGACTATAAACACTCTGACTTGCGACCTTTGCCCATTGAGAGGGAGAAAAGTGAGCTGAAATCTCAAAAACCGCTCCGGGAAGAAACTACTTCGACTGCAGATTCAGAAACAGATGGAGCTCGTACACCACATAAAGTGGCACCGCTAAGTTCTGAGACTGGTTGCTCAGTGAAACGGGTAAAAGAGGAAGAAATTAGACCCTCAGCTTCAGCCGCTGAAACTCTTTCGGCAGTCAACAAGGATGGAAAAGTTAAACGCGGGGGAAGCACTGAAAAGCAGCAGCTACGCGAGAGAATTAGGGGAATGCTGATTGAAGCTGGGTGGACTATTGATTATAGACCAAGAAAGAACAGAGATTACCTAGATGCTGTGTATATTAGCCCCAGTGGAACGGCTTATTGGTCAATAATTAAGGCTTATGATGCGTTTCAAAAACATTTGGAGGGAGACACTGGTAAAAATAAATCTGATGGTATCTCTGCTCCATTTGCTCCTTTGTCAGCAGATTTAATAAATAAGCTAACAAGGCAAACTAGAAAGAAAATTGAAAAAGAAATGAAAAAGAAGAAAAAAGATGAAAGTGCAAGTAGTAAGAAGAAGGCATTAGTGAAAGAGCATGCAGAAGGCACAGACAGTGATCAGCATGATGAGAGACTTGATAGCTATATAAAGAAGAATGGTAAGCCACTTAAAGGCAAATTTCATGCAACCAAGCAAAAGAATGAGGATAAAAAAAATTATAATGCCTCGGAAAGTGGGAGGCTTAAGCAAGACATGGTTGTGAGGTCCACTACAGCACCTACGAGAAATATAATCCTGGGGAAGAAAAGCCAAATAATTGGGAGGTGTACTCTGTTGGTCCGCAGTTTTGAGAAAGGAGAAAACCCTGAAAATGATGGTTATGTTCCATTTTCTGGAAAAAGAACTTTGTTGGCCTGGATGATAGACTCTGGGACAGTGAAACTGAGTGAAAAGGTTCAATATATGAACCGTAGAAAATCACGGGTAAAGCTAGAAGGTTGGATCACGCGAGATGGTATTCACTGTGGTTGCTGTAGTAAAATTCTTACAGTTTCCAAGTTTGAGCTCCATGCAGGGAGCAAACTTCGCCAACCATTTCAAAACATTGTTTTAGAGTCTGGAGTTTCTCTATTGCAGTGCCTTATAGATTCATGGAATAGGCAAAAGGAGTCCGAATGCCGAGATTTCTATGCTCTAGGCATTGATGGCGATGATCCAGATGATGACACTTGTGGTGTCTGTGGTGACGGTGGGGATCTGATCTGTTGTGATGGCTGTCCATCAACTTTTCATCAGACCTGTCTTGGTATAGAGGTACATATTAACCACAATATTGACATCCTGTATGCTCTGTTTCTTCCCCACATGCCATAATGTATTATGCATTGTATTTGTATCGTCATTGCTTTCAATCCTATTACACTTTTAGGCCAATGTTGTTCTTACTGTAAAATCAATTGTGACGATGAAGCCCAAAGCAAGTCCTATTTAGCTCAAACTGGTAGGAAGATATATTTTTCTTTAAAAGAGAGAAATTAAAGAGGCAAATGATGTCCAGTGTCCTGCCAAAATAGAAAAGGATATTTTCCTCCTCAGCTGTGATGAATTAATTGCTGAAAACTTGATGCCCCTTAGAGTAAAAGAACCAGTATTTATAACGATTCTTGCTCTAACCTCGGTTCTTAAAACCCAGTTCAGCAACAAAAGTGAATCAGTCTTAGGAGGAATATGACACATAGGCCTAGCAGATTGACTTGCATGTTTAGCTAACATCTAGGCATTACATGCAGATGCTTCCTCCTGGTGATTGGCATTGCCCAAATTGTACATGCAAATTTTGTGGGGTTGCCAATGGGAATCTTGCTGAAGGCAATGAGGATGCTGATGAGCTTTTATTTTGCGACCTCTGTGAGAAAAAATGTAAATGCCTTCTCTATAAAGTTTTGTTTATGTATTTCTCTGGTTCTATTATATTTCAATCATTGCTTTCTATTTAATTGAAATTCTACATTTTTATTTTACAGATCACAAATCATGTGGACAAGAGGAGAATGCTTTGCCTATGAATACCAATAACGTTTCTACTTTTTGTAGCAATACATGCCAAGAGGTATGCTACTTGGATATTTTATAGAGCAACAATCTTCAGATTCCATTTTTTAATGGAAAATCATTTCATCTGATTTCTGGTTCCTCAATGAATATCATATATTTCCTCTTCTCAAATTGGTATCATCTGTCAAGAATAAACAGTTCTCATACCTTTAGAGATTATTTTATTTTTCTGGCATGAGAACTTTGGAACATTTGCTCCCATCACAGCGGCAATTTACTTATGGTCTTGATCACTTAAGGGAATCACTTCCAGAAAATTATTGGAATCGGTGTGCATATAATCAAAATAATTGTATTCTCTTATTTATGCAGCTTTATGATCATTTACAGAAGATTCTTGGTGTCAAACATGAATTAGAGTCAGGATTCTCATGGTCTCTCATCCAAAGATCAGAATTGGACTCTGATACCTCACATCGTACTTTTCCCCAAAGGGTTGAAAGCAATTCTAAGTTGGCTCTCACATTGTCTATCATGAATGAGTGTTTTTTGCCCATTGTGGATCGAAGAAGCGAGATCAACATAATTCAAAATGTCGTTTATAACTGCGGGTAAGCAGCTGCCTACCACATTTGATACTTCTGAAAAATGCATTACGCGGAAAAAAGGTGATGAAGTGGATTCAATGGCATCCTTATCATCTTTTTATTTGCCTCCTTTTTGTCATTTTCATGTGTGTGATTCCCGGTGGATAGATTTCAGTTGTCTTGCCTTCATACTTTCTGGCTTGTGTGCACTAAGTAGCAATTAATTCAAAATTGTTGATTGTTATTATCATTGTTTCTGTAATAATATTCGGAAAATGCTAAGTATCCCTATAAGGAGTAATACTACTAAAACGTGTCTCTTAGTGATTGGATGAAAGAAAAAAGTTAAAAGAAAAGTGAGCCGTTCACTATTGTTGGGTTTTCTGCTCAAGGCTATTCATGTTATTGACTGGCTTTCTAAATTGTTAATCTTTTCCTGCAGTTCAAATTTCAGTCGTCTCAATTATCGTGGCTTCTACACAGCAATCTTGGAAAGGGGTGATGAAATCATCTCTGCTGCATCTATAAGGTATTCTAAATGACTTAATACTTGTTAATGTGATGTGTAGCAACTTTATTTGATGAATATTTGGCCAGTTGCTTCAACCAGATTCATATTTTTGTTATTTGTGCAGTTCATTGCTATTTATTAACAGTAAATACTGATGATCACATATTACTTGTAATTTTATTAGGATCCATGGGACACAACTTGCAGAAATGCCATTTATTGGGACTCGCTACATATATAGGCGCCAAGGGATGTGCCGACGGCTATTGTCTAGTATTGAGATGGTACGTGTGTTAGTTGTCATTTGATTGACGTTAAGTGGCCACCAATGTATTAAATTTGTTTGTAAGAACCATACTGGATTACTGGTGTTATGTAATGATACTTTAGACACTTTATTTCATATTTAATGGGTATTAAGTCAATGTTTATATCAATGAATAATTATGAATGCTAACCCCGTTTACACTGGAAAATTTATCTTCATTTGTGTTGATATCTGTTATATTCTATCTCTATCTAAAATGTTTTGTGATTTATGCAATTTTCAGGTCCTCTCTAGTCTAAGAGTAGAGAAATTGATCATTCCTGCTATATCTGACAATATGAATACCTGGACCTCTGTGTTTGGTTTCAAAAAACTAGAGGAATCACACAAACATGAAATGAAATCCATGAATATGCTGGTGTTTCCAGGGACTGATATGTTACAGAAGCAGCTAGTGATGCAAGAAGCATCAGACGGTAAAGATTCGTCCATTAGTGGTGATTTTTTATTTATTTATTATTATTTTTTTTTTCCGAATCGACTTTTATGTATCTCTGCAATACATGTTCAAGATTTGGTTTGACTTGTTTTGCATAGGCTTGAAATCTGTTGAGCTTGGACTGGTAGAAAAACCCAGAATTCGTTTGTCTGCCAAGCACAAGGGAGATGTGTGCAATGACAGTGATTTGCGGGGCATGAAACAGAATCATGCCGTGGGTGAAAGGATGGGTTCGGGATCTTCAGCTTCAGATGTTCATATGCATGACGTTATGATGGTTAGACCTCACAACAGTTCTTGCGTCTCTAGTACCAAATTGTCCAGTAAGAAGACATCATCGACCAAATCAGATGGCGGGAAAAAGGTCTCTAAATCCTCCACCACCTTAAAGCATGCCTCTATATTAGGTGAAAAAGCAGACGAATCTTCTTCCAGGAGTGCGGGAGAGGGAGCTAATGAAAATCCGAATCAACTTTCTGTTTCGGGTATTTGTGGCAATAAGGAGGAGACTGTCTTACGATCTAATTCTGAATCAGATCACCGAGCTAATTCAGAGGCTTCATCTGATGCAGAAATGATGCCTATCAATCGGGATCTCTCGTCCTCATTGGAGCCTTCTGGGAAACCAGACTTGAACCAATCTCATACGCCTGATGACATGAAAGGCGTGGAAGGTAATAAAAGATTCTTCGACACTTATTTTTCCTATGATGCCAAAAAAAAACGTTGATTATGTATAAAACCTCCTACAGATTTCTCAAGGAAAACTTCATCCCAAAATGCAGGCAACTCTAACATGAACCGACAAATCTCCCCAAATGTGAAAAGTAACCTAACCATGACTTCAGAACTCGAGTCTGAAACCAAAGGCCCCTTAGCCGAGGGGACTGTCCCTGGTGCCATGCCCGGAGTTTCTGCTCAGTGTTGTGCGGAGGAAATGATGACTGAGAAAGATAGTAAAATGTGCTTCAAACATGATCTAAATCTGCAAGCTGACATGATTAAGGAATGAAATTGTTGTAGCTCCAGCCTGAACTCTCCTTCCCATTCAGTGTAAATGTAATGAATAGAGTGAAGTAGTAGATGCCTTTTGATGATGAAGTCAATGCAGAATCTGGTTATTTTGAGCCAATTCTTGATTCCTACCTCATGCTTTGGCTTGGAAACAAAGGCAAAACAAAATAAAAAAAGGTTGAAACTTAGTACATATTAATAACAATTAATAATCATACTAAAGCAACCTAAAGATTCCTTGCATTTATTCCCATGCATTATGTTTTGTGTTACTATAAAATTATATTTTTGTCTAGAAATAGTGATATTGTTAATATGTTATCATTGGGATTGGGGTTAGAGGAAATTTTAATAGGGATATCTATATTGAGGCATCAAACAATGCAATACAAGGTTAAAAAAATCGCTAGACGCCTGGAACCCGCCATGGGGATTACCTAGCACCTGATGTCAGCCCAAAGACCGTCTAGACGTGATTTTTGCAACACTGATGTAACACATACATATCAATGTATTATATCACTGATGTAACACATATATATCAATGTATTATATCATGTTACTAAGGAAACCCTTAGCTGGCTAAAATTGATTTTGCCTTTTCAATTACTTATAATTAATTAATCAACAATTATTTAATTCTAACACATGTTAGTTGAAAACCCAACAATCAATTCATTAAGGAATATTAGGCATGTTTTATGCTTATTGGTTACATTTTTTTTTTTTAAATTTCTCAACACATTTTCAATCGAGTCTGTCACATGTCTTTCGAATGTAGTTTACTTTTCTTGTGTACAGATGTGAGGTTCACACGATACACACCCTTAGATAGTGACTTGAAAATTTGAGCTTACAATTTTTTAGGTCGGAAATAAAAATATAATGGGGATAAAATGGTTATACTATGAAAGATGAGGGGAGAAAATTTCAATTTAAGCTACAAAGGAGAGACAAAACATAAATGCGGTGTCGTATTACTCCCTTCTCCGGTTCTTCCACTTCTAACTCCAATCGGCGCTGAGCCGGCAGCCTCTTCTCTCTTTCTCCACAAATGGAGCATTCTGTTTGTCATCGTCGTCTTCTCAACTCTCCGTCTTCACCATCACTGATCGTCTCTCGTCTCCACCCTACAAAGCTTACTTTCCTGCATCCAACAATTACACAGCGTAAAGTACAACTCATGGCTGCACAACCCCACAGTCTCTCTGCTACTCAAGTGGGACCTCTTCGTGCCTTCGATAATGGCTCCCCGGCAGTGACTTCCGAAACCCAGACCGGTAAAAGCTCTAGCTTAATGGGTTTTCTTTCTTTTTGTAAAAAGATATGTTCTTTGTTTTGCTCTTATGAATATGAATGAATTCTTTATCCGATTGGGAATGTCAGCTATACTTTATTTTGGTGTGATAGGTCGAATTGGAGAGGTGAAGAGAGTGACGAAAGAGACTAATGTATTTGTGAAGATAAACTTGGATGGAACGGGTGTGGCTGAGAACTCTACGGGCATTCCATTTCTTGATCATATGTTGGATGTGAGTCTTTTTTGTTGCGTTTTTGTGCTTTTTCAGGATGAAAGATTTCATCTTTTTTGTTTTTGGGATGTGGGTGCAGCTTTATTCTAGCTCAAAATTGAATTCTACAAAGATTTGATGATTTTGCTTCTCTTTGTGTTTGAGTATTTTGGTTGCTGTTATGTAGGGCTACAATGTAACAAGCATACTAGTTATGGAGTATTAGATATTTGGTTAATTGAGGTTTTGGTCTTATCCCTAATCCTTGAATTTCCATAATGGTTTTTTTTTTTTTTTTTTTTTTTTCTTTCCTTGAGAGGCATATTGCAAAAGAATAGGAAAGACGAAACCTCTATATGGCACATTATTGGAATGACTTGCTTATGTTTACAAGAATCTTAATTGATAGTACTTCAAAAGATTATTGCTTATCGCCCTCCTCTTAGCATTCAATGACTTTGCTTATGATATTTGTTTATTGGGTTTGAGGAAAGGTTTATATACTTATGAATGTTCATCTTTCTAGTTCTATCACTTTTCTGTTTCAAATCCACTGTGATTTTAATTACGGTATGGATTCTTTTGTTTTTAGCAACTTGCATCCCATGGGTTGTTCGATGTGCATGTGAAGGCTACAGGGGACGTTCACATTGATGATCATCACACAAATGAAGATGTTGGCCTTGCCATTGGAACAGTAAGTTCCCAAATCCGTTGCTTTATCGGGATCTATGAAACTTATAGGCACATTTTACTTGCTAGTCAAACAACGAGGGGAATCTTCTCCTCCAAAAGAGTCTCGAGAAATTGCTTCAATACTGAATGTTGACTGCACCACTTGGTTCACTTTGGTCTTCTTTTAATTCTAGTGAATTTGCAACTTTTTTTTCCGTTAATTCAGGCGTTGTTGCAAGCACTTGGCGATAGAAAGGGAATCAATCGGTTTGGTGACTTCTCAGCTCCCCTGGATGAATCGCTGATTCATGTTGCATTGGTACATTAAGAAAGTTATTTGTTCTTAGAAAACTCAGAAGAGCTCGTGATACTTTAATTGGTATCTCTGTTGTAAAAATAATAATTCATGTGCTTTTTTATTTTGATTCAGGATTTATCTGGAAGGCCGCATTTAGGTTTTGATTTACAAATACCGACTCAGAGAGTGGGAACGTATGACACTCAGGTAGCTTTTATGGCTTTTTTTTGCTCATTTGAATCGGAGCTATTTAGTTCCCTCGTTGAGTTTCTATGTTAGATGGATACATAATCGTTTTACTAATTTGGATATGGAATTTACTAGCTGGTGGAACACTTCTTCCAGTCGATGGTCAACACTTCTGGAATGACGCTTCATATACGACAGGTAGAGTTGAATGCATTTGCTTGTCTTCCTTTTGTTGGGTTATTGCATTTCGATTTTACCCGATGTTTATAACGATCCATAAATGTAATCTTATTGGAAGCAGCTTGCCGGAAAAAATTCTCATCACATTATCGAGGCAACCTTCAAGGCGTTTGCACGAGCCCTTAGACAAGCAACTGAGTATGACTTGCGTCGTGGTGGAAGTATACCAAGGTTCTGCACTTCCTCTCCCCCTTGACATAATATCTTTTAAATTGCGGGGATTAATTTTTATAAATGCCCAACTAAATCAATATATACATCTACAGTTTTTATAAATAGCATTTCTCAGATGGCATGTAGTGACTCTCCTATATGGGAGGTCATGAGATCGAGCCTCAGTGGAGGCGGTGTTGACTTTTTGTGCTTCAACAGGTTGAGAAAGTATAGATGAACAGATACTACAATGTAATAGAGTCAGTAGTATTCAAAAAAAATAAAAATAGCATATTTCCTTTTAGATGGTTTTGCTTCGTCTACTATAGCATGAGGATTTGCTTTGAAGATAAACCTTAATTAAAGGAAATATATTGCTGTTACACGACTCTTGTCATTATTGCTTGTTCATTAGTTTTCGATTCATCATGCAGCTCAAAGGGGGTTCTTTCACGTGCCTGAAGTATCGAAATTTGACAAAATGAGGGTGTTACAGTCGGAGGTTTAGTATTACTATTATATATCAAAGTTGTTCTTCCAAATGTCAAATCGATACTCGGGTGTTCTCCTAATCGCAATTTGTTTGTGTTTTGCAGACTTTTGTTCCGCAAACAGACTATGATTCTCTTGCTGATGTATGAACACACTTCATTTCTATGATTTCAACATTTTTTTTTATCAGAACTTGTGAGCACTGTAGAAGTTGTAAGGATTAACATTGTATAAAAGTTACCAAAAGTGTTTTCTAGTTTTTCTCAATAAAGCAATATGTACTTTGAATAATCTTCCATTGCCTGTGGATTTGAGTTTGATAAATTCCATTGCCTGTGGATTTGAGTTTGATAAAGATGCAGTTTTCTATCTTGGAATTGGAGCAAATCTTTGATTATTTTGTATTGGTATTCTTGAGGCTTCAATTCTCTGTGAATTTTACAGTTCCCATGGCTTGAGCCATCACCAATCTGCTCTTTAACAAATGTTAGATAAACTTCATTTTCATTGTTGGAGTCAAAAAGAATCTTCATTACAAAGAATCTTACCACAAAATGGAGTAAAAAAGAATGCCATTCAGTGAGTTGCTTGCATTTCATATACAGTTTCTTGTGCAAAACCTCGTTTTACAGAACCTCTTCTGCTTTGTTCAGATCATCTAGAATCTCGGTTTTGATATCCTCTGGCAGTGGTGCAGATGGGCCGGCCTTCGAGTAAAAGCTGGCCAAGGATCTGATTGCTTTCTCTAGCATCACATATGATTCCTGCAGATACAGCAAACTTCAGATATACGGCACAAGGATCTCATATTCTTACGATCAAGATTCAAACCGCACATAAGACGATGCTAAAGCATTAAGAGCGGTTTAGATGTGTCAAGCGCTAGTAGAATTTCAATATGTTCTTTAGGATCTTATCGTCTTGAGATACAAATGCCTCTCTTTGATTTACGGGAAAGTTGTAACCATCACCCAAAAGGAGCCCGCCTTGTGACCCTAGCCAGCAAAGGACCACAAGGAGGTAAATCAGCCTAGGTTGCTTATAGCTAACCGGATCAAACCAAGAAGGCCAACAAGGAGGCAAACTAGCCTAGGTTGCCCATAGCTAACTGGATCAAACCAAGAAGACCAATAAACAACTCCCAGGAGTATAACTTGAAACCTTGTGGTTACAAAGTCAACTGTCTGACCAACTTGGCTAGGGTAACCCCCAAATGCCTCATTGCCAAAAGTACCTCTTCAATGAAAGGAAAAAGTTATGATCTTTATAACATTTAGTACATATGCAAAAATGGAAGTATATCCACTTAATGAATCTTTATATTGCATTAAACATGTTCTATATCCATGTGTTCTTTCCTACTAGACACCTTATTGTGGATAGAGGAACTATAACTTTACCTCCTTGACGACTGTTTTGTCTCCTCGCCACCCACCCAGATATTCTCGAATGGACTCCTTTGCTGCATCCGCGGTTCTCCTAAACTTGGCTATGTCGTTGGGATCCTCCTTCAGTGATTCACGCAGTGTTTTAACCACTTCTCTCGCTGACTTCAAGTACGCCTTTGGTAACACTTTCCCCGATTTGGTTTTCTCATTTGGATCAAACAAAGACTTTAAGGCCCCAGCAACACCCTCGTCTTTCTCTTCCTGGGCATTTGCTTGATCTCCGGCCCAAGCAGGTAACAATGCAAGTCTGCAATTAACTGTTAAAAATGAAACAAAAGGAATCACACCACACCGTAGGAGAAGTTGGCGACGAGATTGTTCCTCTTCAGAGAGCATAAAATGGCATTTGGATCGTACTTTATCTGTTATAACATGAGAAAAGGCAGTTTGTTAAGTAAAAATAAAAACTTTATGAACAGTTACTAATTCTACATATTATACATTCATGCAGAGCACTGAACTTGAAGCTACATAGAAAGTTGGATGTAAAGCTTTGAATCACGACACCATTCCTTTCACATAAAAACTACAGAACAGCAAAGACGAGGTTCAATACTTACAGTTGGTGACATCTTTACACTTAGCAACAGAACTGAAAACATTTAAGGAGCACATCTTTACAGGTAGGAAGGAAGCCATCCCGATCTCGCCTCATGCCACCCCACAAGCACGGGAGTAACGTACCTAAATACCAAGGCATTAGTTTCCACAAGAACAACAGACCACTTCTTCAACAACATTATTGTTTTGGGTCAGATCACGAGGTGTCCTGAGCAGGCCCTAACTGTAGAGGCACCTTTAAGCCCATACCATACTCAGACTAATCCCCGTTCGCACTAGGCCGGCCCAATTAAGAGGTAAAGTGCTGGTCAAATTGGTTAGGCCCTAACTGTAGAGGCACCTTTAAGCCCATACCATACTCAGACTAATCCCCTTTCGCACTAGGCCGGCCCAATTAAGAGGCAAAGTGCTGGTCAAATTGGTTTTTCAATACGAGAGGGGGTTCGAACTCCCGACCTCTCTTAAGAGAGGAGAGTGCACGGCCACTCACGCCAACCAAGCTGTATACTTGTATAACTATTTAAACAAGATATCTAATAAGTCCGCAAGGGCAGCTCAGTTGGTTCCTGATTGGTAAATTGTGGGCAAGGACGGATTCTAGCTGTATACTTGTATAACTATTTAAACAAGATATCTAATAAGTCCGCAAGGGCAGCTCAGTTGGTTCCTGATTGGTAAATTGTGGGCAAGGACGGATTCTGGCAGCCGCAGTGTGGGAATTACACCCAATATGGTGGGCTCCTTGTGGGCACCAGTTCCTCCCAAATAATGGGCTGCTATCCTGTAGTGCCGGTGCCGGGGCTTTTGTGGGCAAGATATCAGGTCAAGTGGAATACAATCTAAAACTCCATTTGAGTGATATCATGCTCAAAATTTCCCAATTTCTCTACAATTTTTGCAATAAAAGTGCTAATTACATAAGATAATTGAATACATTCCAATGCAAAAACATACAAGCCTCCACTGAATCACAAAATTATCCCTTTGGGCTGCAAGTAAATGGGCAAACAAAGCTACAAAGACAGAATCTTTCCTGTTTAAATTGAGCATAACTAACTAATCTAACCTCAATTACCCAAAATATAAGTGGATTAATAAAGAAAAAAAGATTAATAATAATTCACAAAAATATTGATGAAATAAGAAGAAAGAAGCAAAAAAGCTGACTAACCTGAGCCTCCCAGAGTCCTTCAAACATTTTCAAGAACTGCGTATAATGTTATCTATCCAACTAAAGGATACAAAAGACTTTTATAAAAATGTCGAGGGTAACTTGGTCATTTCACACGTAGGGTTTCTCTCTATTTATACCTATTAAAACCCTTTCTTTCCCTCTTCTCCAGTCACAGCGGCCCTGCAGAAGAGTGAGAGTCGGAGAGGGAAAAAACAAGCCGCAGCCATGGTTAGTAAGCTCCATTTGCAGCTTTGAGTCGATCCTGTCGTGTTTATCTCGCCCTGCGCTTGATTTGTGATTGAATTGTTGATTGCTTTCTCGCCCTGCGCTTGATTTGTGATTGAATTGTTGATTGTTTTCTCGCCCTGCGCTTGATTTGTGAATGAATTGTTGATTGTTTTCTTGCAGAGTTTGGTAGCGAACGAGGATTTCCAGCACATTCTGCGTATCCTGAACACCAACGTCGATGGGAAGCAGAAGATTATGTTCGCTCTCACCTCCATCAAGGGTATCGGCCGCCGATTCGCCAACATCTGCTGCAAAAAAGCTGATATTGACATGAACAAAAGGTCCCAGCTTTCCTTATCAACCAATTTAACAAGTTTATTCTTTTATCGTTTTAATTGAATCGTTTCTTATGTCGCTCTATCTGCAATAAATATATGGCGTTTGATGTTCAAATTCACAAAACTGAATGTATTGAATGAAAATTTGTGTGTTTCAACCTAGTAATGCAATGTAGGTCAGTTTTTTTTAGCATAAAACGACAGGTGTTTCATAAGGCTATAAAGGGTGCTTCAATTCTTGACAACCATTGATACTGTGCTGCTCAAGCTTTCTGTTTTATGTTATTCAATGTTTTCTATATGTTTTTTAATCAAGTTTAAGATGCAGTGGTTCGATAAGGACTTGGGTTGTATCCTTGTTTCCAGTTTCTGAGTGTTGCTTATATGTATGTTCTGCTGCAGGGCTGGTGAACTTTCTTCAGCTGAGATTGACAACTTGATGACTGTTGTTGCGAACCCTCGCCAGTTCAAGGTTCCTGACTGGTTCCTTAACAGGCAGAAGGACTACAAGGATGGCGGCTATTCTCAGGTTGTGTCCAATGCATTGGACATGAAGCTCAGGGATGATCTTGAGCGATTGAAGAAAATTAGGTATGATTTCTTACTATATGTATGCTTCATATTCTATCTTAATGTAAGTATACTTATCATTTTTTGACTAGCTGGTATATTGTTTCCATCTTAGTGTACTTCTATTTGTTCAACTTTATCTGTTTGTTTACCTAAGCTATTGAAATAGCAACCCCCCTCCCAACAAGCACCACCCCTAAAAGTATAATTTTGGAAAAGCAAAGCAGATGTTTCTTCTCAGGTCCCAAATCTGGATCTGAAATTATGTTGTCATGTTGAGATGACAAATAAAATGAATAAAAGAAAATGTGGGGTTATTATCTTTGATTATCAAGGGATATTGGAGAGCCTTTTTGTACTGACTTGTTAATTTTAAAAATGCTAGGAATCACCGTGGTCTTCGTCACTACTGGGGTCTTCGTGTACGTGGACAGCACACTAAGACAACTGGACGTAGGGGAAAGACTGTTGGTGTCTCAAAGAAGCGTTAAGATTGATTACACCTGTGATTTCATGTTTTGTTCTAAATTTTGTTTTCATATACAATGATGTGGTCTTTAGCATGTAGTACATGTTTCTTGAGACTGAGCTTTTTAGGGGTTCAATGAAGGCAGACCTTATGAGCCTTGTCTTTCTGTTTTGCTACATTATTGAATGATTCTTGCGAACTTAATAGATCCTCTTGAGTGTTTTTGGTTTCTTGTGATGAAGCAAATTCTGTTTTATCTTAAATTTGTTGATGTCTTATAATGGAGGGAAGTAGTTCTGATTCTGTAACTGTGTGAATGAATCACAATGTACAGATGTGTTGGGCAGATTGCTCAAAAATGAAAGCTGCATCTGTTCTGGATTCTGGAAAATGGTGTGCAAAGTGCATACTTCATACAATCACTCCTTGTTTGATATCTGTCAAAATTAGGCATCATTGAATCTCTTGCATGCCAATGTTCGAGTATATAGGTTTTAATTCATTTGTAAAGATTGGAACTCAAATGAAGATTTACCATGCAAGAAACACTTGACATAAATCCGGATAGTGTCACCAAAGCTCATAAGTCTTCACCATCCAGCTTTGCCCTTGACACCACCACTAAGTAAGGGAAACATAGACCCAAACATCTGCATGGCTACTAGTGATGGGGATAATTCCCCGGATGTCATGCCCATACGGTGGTCGGTCGTGGGCTCCCAGTGCGGGTTGAACCCAATTTGATCACTGTCGACCTCTTTGGTATGCCTTCTCGATCTCTAATAGGAATGTCAACTGTACCCGCACCCAACGGGGAATCCGATTTCCCGCCCCTATGGGGACGGGGATGGGGATAGAAATAGGGGATCGGGGATGGTGATGGGGGCAATTTTGAATTCCCCGTCGGGGACGGGGATGGGGAGTACTCTCCCCGTCCCGCCCCGTCCCCGATGTATGTATGTATGTATGGGGAGTACAGACACATATGTATTACTTTGTATACAATAAATATAATTTTAGAAGCATTCTTGTCATTGTTTGTCATGCTTATGAAATGCATATTTAAATAACATGTTTAATTGTAAAATATTGAATACTATTTTAAATTAGGGATGAATATATATACGTTATTTATTTAAATGTTTATGAATGTTTAATTTTTAATTTTTTTTTATAACTTATTAATGGGGTGGGGATTCCCCGTCCCCGAATAATCCCCGTGGGGATGGGGATGGGGGGAGTTTTCCATTCCCCGGCAGGGATGGGGACGGGGATGGGGAATGGGAAAAAAGTCGGGGGCGGGGATGTGGGGTATGTCCCCCGCCCCCACCTCGCCCCGTTGACATCCCTAATCTCTAATGCCCACCGGGCTTCGCCAGAGGGTGGATTCGGGAATGATTTCGCGACCTCGGCTGAATTGATTTGCCTTGGTTGGACCGATCATCGAGCGCCTCGTAGCATGGCATAGTGCGCTCAGAAACATCATGACATGCGGCCAAGGCCTGTGCATGGTGTTCACGTGCGCTGCCGACCCAGAATCTGTCTCCCTAGCGATCGCTAGAAATACCACATTTATTGTTGTCAGAGAGAACTTTTTTGGCTATTTCTACCTTATAGCTATTAGCTCGGATACTTCTGACCCACTGTTACATATACTGAGCTATATCCATTAAACCAACAAACAGACTAGGCTTATGATCCGAACTCGAAACCGACTTGTAATCGTACTCATTATACAATACGCACCATATATACCACATCAACCAGTATGCCCCAACAAATAAAAAAAAACATCAAAAAGTCTCATCGGAACACACACAGTCCCTCCACAGAGAGATTACCTATTAGGCCAGACACGGTTATCACACCTAGGGCACAAGGCCGGAGCCCCCTCAGCAATACAATGGGCCAAAGCACAACCAAATAGGCCAGACACGGTTATCACACCTAGGGCACAAGGCCGGAGCCCCCTCAGCAATACAATAGGCCAAAGCACAACCAAAGCACAATAAAATTACAATATCACATCACATCACATTAAGTAATATAGTCAATCAAAAATCAAAATTGAAATATCTTTATTAACCATCGAATAGTCAATTTAGCTTACCATAATCGCCGACAAGCGATAATAGCATAGAGTTTAAATTGTCTTTCTTACTTTTAGCAAGTAGGCATCTAAAATCAGATTTAAGGAGCCTTTATGTGTTATGATGCAATCGATCACGTTAATTCACACCCATCACAAATTTAGCATATTGACCTAATTCAACTATTTTCTTCCCCATTTCAATTCAACATGTATTTCTTATAGATTTTTGCAAATTACATATACATCCCCTGTCGCACCAGATTTTGAAACCCAGAGAGCGGAGTGATGGCAGGAGGCAACCCTTCAAGGCATCCGTCTTCCTCCTCAGCCAATGCCAAGCCACCGCAGTCTTCCAATGCTTCTAACCGGAAGTCTCGCTGGGAATCTCCGGGGAAAAACCGCCCTCCCAAGGACTCCAAACCCTCCGGGTCGGGTTTAGGGGATGGTAAACCTAAACCCTCACCGAAAACCGGGAAGGAAACGGCGCCGTCGACGGCCAATGCAAAAAAACCTCCTACCCCTAAGCCCAGATCCGATTTCCGGTCTCCGAAACCCGCCGACCTGGATACCCGTTCTGCGTTGCCTCCGTTTCCGTTCCAGGACCCTCCACCGCCTCCTACCTACGGATTTCATATGCTCGAGCGCCGGGGCATCGCGCTTGCAGATGGTTCGGTGAGGCCTTACTACGCTTTGCCTCAGAATTATCAGGACTTTCCACCTAGGGATTTTCGCGGGCCGGGGTTAGGATTCGATAGACAGTTTCCAATGAGCCCGGATTTCCGACCCGATTTCCGGGACCGTGAGAACCCGTTGATGTGGAACCGGAATCAGGATTCTTGGAATTCGCTAGGATTAGATGGGCAGGCTAGTGGACCAGGGATGGGGCCGGGTGTGCATGAGAACCCAATGAAGAGAAAGTTTGGGGACGATGCAAGGGAAGTGTATGATGGGTTTGAGAGGCAAAGACAGCAGGTTTTGAAGCATGGAAATATGAGCAACTCACCAGGAACTAGTGGTTTGTATAGGAGAGATGTAGGGGAAATGAGACCTGCCAAGTTTATGAGGACTGCTGAGGCAAATGTAGGTCAGCTTAAGCATCATACTGTTGATCAAAATGCCCTAAAGAAGGCATTTTTGCACCAAATTAAGTTGGTTTATGAAAACACAAATCAGAAAAATCGGTTTTTGGCAGATGGAAAGCAGGGGCGTATTCAGTGTCTCGTCTGTGGCAGGTCTGAAAATAAAGTAGGATTGCCCAATATTTTTGTAGTTATTGTTTGTTTGCTTTTGATTTGTTATGAAGAGGTGCTTGATCTCTCTCCTTTTTTCCCCTCTTGAAGTAGCTTCAGGATAAAGTCATTTTTTTAACATCCAATATGTGAGCTAAATGCACAGTGAGACAGCATCAGTGCTAATTTCATTTTGGTATATTTGTATGCTGTTCCTTTACATTCAATGGCTGCATGCAATAATTTTATTTTCTATATAATATTTCTTAAGTGGGAAGGCTAATAGTAGTTATTATCTAGTCATTTTAAATTGTGATTTTATTTTTTCTGTTTGCTGTCTTGGTTTAGGGCTTCAGCAGCTTTCTATTTGCTTATTTTTTGAAATAGTAGTCTCAATTTGCCAGCTTGCTTTCAGTGGCATCATTGGGCTTGAATAAACTTGTTAAATAAGTGTACATAGTACATACCATGCCTTGTGCATCGTGTGGGACTGTGGGAGTAGTACAAGTTGTGATCTAGTAATACTATGAGAACATGTAACCCCTAGAATTCAGGAGCAGAATCTGTTTTCTTCCACATGCTTGTGGGTTCAAATTTAAAGGTTCGAAGTTGAATTTTCTTTGTATTACTGACTACTGAGTTTGTGATATTGTGTATGTTCCCTAGACTACGATTTCTGAATTTCACATTTTAGTGGAAATGCATAATGCATTACCTTATGTTGTCTTGGATGGGGAAAAATGTGAGCCCCAGAGTTGTTCATTCTCTGATTATGTTGCTTCATAATGGTGAGAATCAAAATCTGAATTTTTTTCAGTATAATAATATAGGATATAGTCCTATAGGCTATAGATTTTGAGTGATTACTAATGAACTAGAGTTGCTCCAAACTGTTTGGGGGCATTGGTGTGGATCCCTGCTTGGAATTTACAAGTGTGGTGCTTTTATTCTTCAAGCCACAAATTTTTGAGCTGCTAATATTGGTGGCTGATTTTTATTTTTTTATTATTTTAGTAAGAACACCTTTGCCTTGCAAGAACATAAATTATGCACTTAAATCACTTTTTCAGTGTTGCTTAGCTTTGTTAAATATTAGTGTATTATATTATAGTTATATATGCAGGAATCTGTCTTTGCTAACAAGTACCCAAGAGTACTCATTATCACTTGTGTTGTTTTTAATTATTTAGTTTTATTATTTAGCATGGTTGAGTCCCCTTTAGTTGGGGACTGGGGTATCTTATGGAATTCAAGAGCTGTCATTGCTCTGTTTGCTTCCTTGAGTTCATTTGGTTGATGTCATTTGATTATGGTTGATTCAATGCTCCCATTCCACTAAAGACAAGGACAGTAATAGAAATTGTTTGAATGGATCCGGGTTTCTGTGTGTATTTATGTTTGATATACATATGTATATATGTCTTTTGCAGGCTTTCACAAGGAAAATTAGTGTTTTTTGCTTGAATTTTTTTATTAGTGCAATAGTGCCTTGTAGGACCTCCCTTCTGGAGTTTCTATTGCAAGATGCTCGAGCTTTTCATTCACATTTTATATGGTGTATCTTCTTTACAATATGTCAATACAGTAGTGGGTCCTTGTTGGGACCTGGTATTTTGTTCCTGTTCAGTATGTAGTATTGTGGTAACCAGCTCTCCATATTTGTTGGGCCTCCCTTCATAAGTTGGGATGGGGAAATACTTGAACTTTTCGTCTTTTCTTTTATCTCTTTTTAATTCTGTGCTCTATACTTCATTTCTTGCAAATACTTGTTGCAACCTGGTATTCTCATTTTATTGAGTGTATGGTAATCAGTTTATGTGTTGCTGTTGAATATTATTTTTCACCGTGCTCCTAGATAATGAAATTTCTTTTTGTGTTTGAATACATTGGAGTATTCTAGTGTGTTCCATTATTGTTGTTGAAGTTCAAGGGAATATTATCTTCCTTTTAGTATTATGCTATATGGACTATATATTTCTTATCTCCCATTTTGGAGTTATGGGTATCATCCTGTGACCTAAAAACAATAATGAAAAGATTTAATTGAAAATGCAGTTATTTTACCACTGGTCAGAGTGCTAACAGTTGATTTTATTTTTTACCATCTTGTTGTAGATTCTAACGATACTGCTATCCAAGCTCCTCTTTTATGTTTATTAGCTAAACTCATTCTACTTCAATTTGCACATGACCTTATCTTTTGAGGTTTCCTGAAGTACTTTCTAATTTTTATGCCTAACATGCAGCTCTTCCCAAGATTTCCCTGATATGCACAGTCTTATTATGCATGCATACAATAATGCTGACTCAAGTAACTCAACTGTAGAACACTTGGGCTTTCAGAAAGCTTTGTGCATTCTGATGGGTTGGAACTATTTGATACCTCCTGATAATTCAAAGTCATACCAGCTGTTATCTGGTGATGAAGCAGCTGCTAACCAGAATGACTTGATTATGTGGCCACCACTGGTTATAATTCATAATACAATGACAGGGAAGCGTGCAGATGGGCGCACAGAGGGTTTGGGGAACAAAGCAATGGATAGTTATCTTAGAGGTATAACACATCTCTGCATTCTTTCTTTTCTTTCCAATTCATCGAGGGGATATACCAGCTTCCAAGATATTGTCCATTTGCCTTGGTCTCTCTTCTAGTTACCTGCTCTCTGTTACTTGTGAACTTTTAGAAAAAATATGTACTGCATATGTGGTGACTGCATTTTTCTAGTTTTATTATTCATTGCCCCCGTATTAAAAGGAAATTCAGAACTATTTTCTCATCATTATTCCTATAATTAATATTCATTTGCATCTGTATGGTCTCATTCAATTGTGTAGCTTCTTATATTCCATGGAGAAGCCTAGTTTCATGCAATATTCAATTATAGAATAGCCATGTTCTCAAGATCTCGACTCTATTTTGTTAATCAATTTTGCCTGTTCTATTTATGCCACTTTGTTCCAGGCTGCTGAATAAGCTTTATCTTGTAGGAAGGAACTGATGTTCTAGTTAAATTATTAGCCCCTATATTATAGTATTCAATAGCTAATTGGTAGTAAAAAGCCTGGATTGATAGATTAAATTGGTGAGCTGTAGTCAAGGGGAAGTGGGTCAAAGGAACAGAGAAAGTTGGATGCCTGATTTTGGAGACTCAGAGGCTGAATTGTAGGAAACTTTGGAACATAAAAGGGTAAGAGGATTGGTCGAAGTTGGAGAGCTAATAATTTTTTTTGTGCATGAAGAGGGATGCGGATGCAATCACATGCAACAATGCAACGTGAAGGAGATAAGACTAGAATTTGATGTTTCCCTACTGTTTTAAAAACCTTTGCACTAATAGCTGACTACTGACTTACTAAGTGCTTATTTGGCCACAATATGACCTCATTAAAGCAGAGGTTTTGTTTTTTTTTTTGTTTTTTTTTTTTTGTTTTTTTTTTTTGTTTTCTTCAAAAGCCTTAACTTTGGAACTGCTTGGAGGGCATTACCCTTTTATCTAGCCTTAAAAGTGTCCACCTTTTTATTGTTTGACCCAGCTTATTTATAGAGGGGTAAAGTTTCTGTGATAGCTTCCCCCTCGTGTAGCTGTCGGCTAGGATCAAGGATTCATCGCTTCTGTTGAATCTGCAAGTGTGCCAAACACAGTTTTCAAGTACCATGATTCTCTTATACAAAGGGTATATACTGCTTTTTATTGGGAGTTTGCTGCTAAGCTATTAGGACTTTGGGCTAGTTGGAATGCATGTTGCATGTGATTACCCATTATCCCCTACAGAACTTCTACAAAGATTCTATTAATTAGCTGAAGTTTGTGCTTTAGTTTCTTGTATCAGTTAGTGTGGGAAGAGAAGGAAACTGTCCTTTTCTTTATTATGTTATATTGTCTTTCAGCTTTGTAAATTCATGTTTGTATCTCTTTCTGTAGTTTGATTAGTGCAAATCTTCATTGTAATTTTGCAAGGGAGAACACCCTTTCTGGTGTTTGTGAGACTTTGATCCAGAGGAGAGCAGGCCTCTAAGAGTTTGCCTGCTTAAAAACTTTCTCAAAATTTTGTCTTGCTCTATTCATTAAACTTGGCCAGAAAATATGTCTAGATCATTTCCCTTCCAACTTTTGGAAGTTCCATATGCTCTTATATACAAATACTAGTTTGTTTATTTAATTTTTCTTTAAAAAAGGAAGAAGGGGAGTGAACTTCAGCTGTGGTGTAATGTACAAGTAGTGGAATGTTTAGTATGAGAGCTACCTTCTTACCATTCGATGATGTTTTCAGTGTCTTACATCTGCAAATTCTTGACTTCTCCTTTTGCCTCATTCTGAAATTTTTGCTTTCAGATATTGGATTTCAAGGGGGCAAGTCAAAATCATTATATTGCAGAGAAGGTCACCTAGGCATTACCCTTGTAAAGTTTGCCAGTGATCAGTCAGGTTTGAAAGAGGCTCTAAGGTTGACAGAATACTTTCTCAAAGACAACTGTGGGAGAAATGGTTGGTCCCGTGTGCAGCCCTTGACTTTAGTGAAGGACGAAGAAAACAATCCAGACCTAGTGAAGGTTGATCAGCGAACAGGCGAGAAAAAGAGAGTGTTCTATGGATATTTGGCAACAGTTTCTGATATGGATAAGGTTGATTTCGAGACTAGGAAGAAGGTTTCTATTGAGAGCATAAGAGAATTCCAGTCATCATCATCGTAATAAAACCATTATGGTAACTTTGCTAGGGTATCTGATTACTTCCATCTTCCTTGTCTAGAAAAGTTTCATCTTTTCGCTTGATGATCCACATTGCCTTTCCCTTTTGGGGCCTGGGTAATGATTTTTCTGTGGCTAAATTATCAGTGTCATGGACAATTGGTACAAGCTTCCTGCTCTCTCTTTATCGTTAATGATCATAGGCTGGAGTTGGTTCTCACTTTAAGCTCTATGAGTTGTTTGTTGCATGAATAGTTAGAAACAGCCAAGGGATGGTAGGGGAGGAGGATTGACAGGTAGGATTATCAATTATGTTTACTTTGATGCTTATTATTTGTGATGATTATCGATTAGTTGATCATGATAGGTGTATACACTATACATCTATGATTGCTCGATTAGTATCTTCTTAGCATACTTAGTTGGCTGCTTAGCTTGAATCACTGCTTTTGTTCTGCCCTTTAAGCCATTCTTTCGTATCTCATTTGTGGATTGATCGAGACACTTTCAGTGCACTAATTGCTTTTTTGCTCTTCGTTTACCGTTGCTGATCATAATCCTTCTTCACATTTTGGAAATCTCAAAGATGAAAACTGGGATTACCTTGTGCATAAGTTTATGGCCTTGTTTTTGCTAATGTTTAGGAACATTTGGGTTGTCAGGTGCATCTATCTTACCATATCTATGCAGGTTTTATGTTTTGGAGGAGAATACTTTGATTTGAATATTGCATGCATAGATAGTAATACAATCATTACTCCCACAAATAGGAATAAACAAAAATTCTAATTAATGTCAATAATTATAATAATCTTAGGATTTGTTTAAAGCTAGCTTATCTCCTCTTTCATGTGATTCAAAGATTCCTCCATGGATAATATAAAATGGAGGGAGAGATTACAGATGCGCATGCTTAGCCATGTACAGGTGTGTATGTTTCTTTATCTGCACAACTTGCTTTTATAGACTGAAACTTTTTTTTTTTTCCTAATATATGCATACACCAAAGTAATGCATATATTATTGGGGGTATTTGATAAATAGTTGTTAGCTGATTGGTTAGTGAGTTTGACTAGTTGATAGCATTAGTTGATTACAGAAAGATGTTTGGTGAATTAGTTGTTAGTTGATAGTTGATTACATGCAAAATGACTTTCTCAAAAAAGCTGATCGAAAAAATTGCTTTGAGCAGCTTTTTGAATTTTAGCATTTTGGAACAATAAGTTACAAAAAACTAATTAATCAAACACTGTATTGATTGTTTAATCAAGTCAAAGAGTTAATAGTTGTTAAATAAGTCAACATTCATTGATAAGCTAACTATGTTACCAAACATGGTTTATATGTATTTGAAAGACAATGTGCAAATTTGATTAGTATAGCATGCAAACTTGATTAATATAGCGTGCTTTACATTAGGTGAAAAACTATTGGTATATCACCTATAGCATAATAGCATAATTTGTATGCTTTCCGTACATGTATGTATGTGTATGCATGTATTATATGTTAAATATGCGTATAGATAAAATGATGTTTTCGAAAATAGACTTATAAAATACATCTATTATTTAAAATGTTATGTTATTATATTCTTGACCTATTTCAAGAACCAAACAAATTGCTTAGAGTAAATATTTTCTAATCATGTTAGAATTTTCCTCTAAAATATAATTATCGGGATGTTTTTCTTACATCATTTAATATTTCTATTATTGTGAGACTAATATGAATTATTTCACTCAAAGAGTTTGGGTGTACCAAGTTGGATGAGAAGATTAAAGTAGTGAAATTTGAAAAGATAAAAACAAAAAATGGTGGCATTGTCTTTGAGGAAATGTCTTTTATACTTTATCTGAGTGTAAGCATGTGAGGTGAGGGCAGGCTACCCACTTTCCCTGCCATTCCTGCTCCGGTTTCCGGGATAAAAAAAATAAACCTTTATTCCCTCCCTCCCTCCATTCCTATCATCACCACACTCAAATCCCATTCCCTCCCTCTCAACCCTCCCATAAAAGGTAATCATTATTATTTTTGAATGCTACTTACTCTGTTACATTGCAGTATCTGTTTAAACATATTTTTTCAACCTAATAAAGCACATAGAGTCAACAATGTCTCTACTGAGGCTCAATTTCATGACTTCCCACATGGGAGAGGTCATTACGTGCCATCTGAGCACAAGGTACTTGGCAGGAAATCATTATTTTGTTTACCTTTAATTAATTACCGTTCTTTGCCAATGACTTCTGGATCTAACATGACGTTTAGTTGGAAGGAAGGAATTAGGGGAAAATAAATTGTAATTCGGTAGAAAAAGAGCAAAAAAATAAAAATAAAAATAAGGTCGGATGAAATAATGGGGAGTATCCATGAATTGCAATTCAACAAAAACGAGTGAATTGTAATTCCAATCAAACATTGTAATTAAGATAACCAAAGAATTGTGGTGGAATTACAATGCAATTCATGTCTACTAAACAACCCAATAGTTAGATTGAATAACTTCTTGATCTAATAGTCGGATCACGGGTTTAGGGTTATGACTTTGTGTGTGGTGCATTGGTATTTTTATTTTTTTTAAACAAGGGTATTTAGTTCCTACTTGTTTAAAGGTATTATAATAGTTAGATCAAATGACTTCTTGATCTAATAGTTAAACCGAATGCTTGTGGTTTCGGGTTTAGGTTTGTGACTTTGTGTGTGGTGCGTTATTATTTGTTTTAAATGAGGATATTTAGTTTTTGTTTTATTTAAAGAAATAGTAATAGTTAAATTGAATGACTTCTTGATCTTAATAATAATAATAATAATTTCTTCAAAATAATAATAATAATAATAATAATAATAATAAAGAAATAGAACCATGGGAAATAGCTTTAAAAGGAAATATCTTTAAGTGTGGTTGTAGAGGGTATGATGTACAGCTGCTCATGAGATGAAAGCTTTGAACAAAGCTGACACAACCCACGCCACCCCTATCCTTTCTCAGAGTGCCATCCACTGTTCAATAATATTCTCCTTTTTTTTCCTATTAATTTTTTATATATAAAAATAAAAAAATCTAGATAAAAAATAAAATGTCAAGATAATTAAAAATAATCATATAATTATTAAAAATAAGTCAACTTTTTATGGTACTATAATGGCCTGTTTGGTTGGGTGTAATTTGGCTGTAGTTGAATTGCAATTCAGTGGAAGCCATAATTACGCCGTTTGGTTGGAGGGAATTGCAATTCCACAGAATTGCAATTCCCTCATTTTGCTGAATTGCAATTCATGGGCACCCCCCTATGAATTGCAATTCGGTGGTTGTGGGAAAAGGAAAAAGAGATGAAATGACAAAAGTACCCTTAATTATTACTACTATTATTATTACACAAGGACATTTTAATCTTTATATCACTTTTTTTTTATTCCCTACCCAATAATTCTATTCATCCCTACCAAACAATGTAATTTGAATTCATATTTTATTCTCACCTTATTCTTTTCCCACCGAATTGCAATTACCCTAATTCCTTACTCCCAACCAAATGCCCTGTAAGTATTTTTTTGGAGTAGCAATTAAATGGTTCGTTATGTCTTTCTTAACTAAAAGACTAAGCTTGTAATTAAATCGTTTGAGGGGTTATGTAATAGTCTACAAATGAAATAAATCATATGAAGTATTATAAATATTTTGTTGGACGAGCTTAATTAAAAAGATATTAGCAAGAATTGGGCAATATGGCTAACACGAGTTTAACTCACTGGTTCAGTATGCAATATTTGAGAGAAGAGATCAAGATTCAAAACTCAGTAGCGACAGTGTGGGAATTATGCCCAAAGTGGACAGATTCTTGAGCCATTGAGTCACCGTGAGCCATCGCGATTTACATTCTCCCAAATGCTTTGTCGAGCCGAGGTGTATGGAGTCTTTGGAGTTAGGGATTCAACATTTTAAGAAAAGAATTAGACAATCCGAAAAAAAAAAAAAATGCTCTATTTACTAAACTACCCTTTTGGGACAACACATTTATTAAAGAAGTTAAATTGAGTTGTGTGTCCGTACATGGTGATTTAAATGACATTCACAATCCTTAACTTAAGCTAAAGCTAAAGCCCACAGACAGCGGCGCACATTAGCAACTGCAGGGAAGCCCTCTTTCTACGCAGACACGACTGCACGTGGTGGCCCGCCATTCGTCCACGTACCGCCTTCGTCGCTTTATCGCCGCCAGCCCCACCACTCAACCAAACTTCCTCAACTCGCCTCCTCAGTCCTCCTCCTCCTCACACCTCCTTTCTCTCAACATAATCTTTTTCTCCCTTCTTTCATTTCTAGGGTTTCCTCTTTCTCTCTCTAAAACTCCGAAAATGGGTTCGATCGCCGATCCCGGCGAGGTGACTCAGGCGTCGGCGCCGCCGGCGCCGCCGCCGACGAGCTTCGACGAGTTCCAGCGCCAGACTTCTCTGATGACCAGCTGCACTCTCCTCTGGAAGGAGCTTTCTGATCATTTCACTTCTCTGGAACAGGATCTTTTGAGGAAGTCTGAAGCCCTCAAGGCCAAGCTGCAAACCCTAGACACCCAGACCAAGCAGTCCCTTGAGGTGCTGGAGAAGCGCGAGACGTCTATTGCCGCCTCCATCTCCATTACTCTCAAGAAAGTCGACGAGAGCAAGAGGGCTGCGCTCGTGGAATTCGGGAACGCCGGGGGTTCGGAGGAGCCGGAGGTTGATAATTCCGCGGGTTTGCTGTTAAAGCTGAGGTCTTTTTGTGTCCAGATGGATTCCAGAAGCTTCTGGAGCTTCGTGATTGTTCGGAAGAAGGAGCTGGAGTCTTTGAGGTCCGAAATCCGGAAAGCCCTAGGAGACTGTGTGGACCCCCCCAAGTTCGTTATGGAGGCGATTTCTGAGGTGTTCCCGGTGGACAAGAGGGAGCTGAAGAGCGAGAGGAGCAATGATTTGGGGTGGGCTTGTGTTCTGCTTCTGGAATCGCTGATTCCTGTGATGATGGATCCGGTGCTGGGCAGCGAGAGGATGCTGGTGACGCCGGCCATGAGGGAGAGGGCGAATGAGATCGCCGAGACATGGAAGAAGAGCTTGGATGAAAGGGGAGGGATCGAGAATGTTAAAACCCCTGATGTGCATACTTTCTTGCAACATTTGGTGACTTTTGGGGTTGTTAAGGAGGAGGATGTTGATTTGTACAGAAAGCTTGTGGTCGGGTCTGCTTGGCGGAAACATATGCCTAAGCTTGCACTGTCTCTCGGCCTTGGAGATAAAATGCCTGGTAAGCTTTTGAATCTTGTCTCTTTTATACTCAGCTCCAATTTGGGTCATTTTTTCTTGTGTTTTTCTTGTCTAAATGTGATAAAGTTCAAGTTTTTAGCTTGTAATTTGAGGCCTTCTGGGTAGAGTTTGGATTTTCTGGAACTCTAGTGAGCTCAAGACTGGGTTTTTACTTGTCTAAATGTGATAAAGTTCAAGTTTTTAGCTTTTAATTTGAGGCCTTCTGGGTAGAGTTTGGATTTTCTGGAATTCTAGTGGCAAGCTTGGGTTTTTACCCTAAACCCTCTGAAAAATGTATGGTGTGTACATTTTGATTTTGATAGAAGGCTAACACAAAGATGTTAAACATCATTTTCTTTTCCAAATCCCACACCTTATTCCATTGTTTCCCTTTTCAGTTTGGCTCTTATGTCTTGTTATGTAGTTATCTATGTGGTTCTGAGGAAGTGTTGCCTGCAAAGTCTATTGGTTTTGGGAGAACTTCTGCACTGGGGTTAAGAAATATCAGCCATAGTTTATAGTTTTAGATGTGAAATTGTTATTCACTGCGAGTTGTTGGAATGCTTGAGCAATCGACTATATAGGTGTTTTGCTATTTATATATCTGAACGAATCTCTTTTGGTGAATCTGTCCCTTTCTTTTGCAGAGCTGATTGAAGAGTTAATTAGCAGAGGACAACAAGTAGATGCTGTACATTTCACTTATGAAGTCGGCCTCATTAACAAATTTCCTCCCGTTCCTCTTCTGAAAGCTTTTCTGAAGGATGCGAAGAAGGCTGCTACTGCAATTCTAGAGGATCCTAACAATTCTGGCCGAGCTGCGGTATCTTCCAATTTCTATGCTTATGTTGTTTTCTTGTCTGTCTCTGCAGCTAATTTATATTAATGGTTGAGATTATCATGGAATTTCTTCTAATTTTCTCCCATCATTTTAGATAGACCGTATTTACTTCTTTGCTTTCGCTCATCTGGCTGTCTCTGATGTTGAGCATATAACCATTAATGTGCAATCCAACTATCAGCTTAAGCTTTTAGTTGAGATGGACCACATGCTTCAATTTGGTATCAGAGCCAGACCAAAGGTCATGGGTTCTCTACGTCTACAGATGATTCTCGGTGGTGTTCTACAATTCAGTTCTCTAATATAGTTTGTTGTTTTTGGCGTTAAAAACAGCATCTTGCTGCGAAGAAGGAGCTCTCAGCAATCCGGGCTGTCCTAAAGTGCATTGAAGAATACAAGCTCGAAGCTGAATTCCCGCCAGAGCACCTCAAGAAGCGTCTCGACCAGTTGGAGAAGACCAAGAGCGAGAAAAAGAAGCCGGCTGCTGCTGCCGCCCCGGCTGCGAAGCGTACACGTGTCAGTAACGGTGGTCCCATGCCTCCCGCCAAGGCAGGCCGCTCAACCAACGCCTACGTCTCTTCTTTCCCAGCAGCCGCCCCTACGTTTGTGAGGTCGCCCTCGCACACCCAGTACCCTACTGGACTCCCAGCTTACCCTGCATCGCCAATATACACCCATGGAAGCATGAGTCCCCAGTATGTTTACTCGCCCGAAGCCGCTCCTTACCCGGGCAGCCCCTACTCCCCATATGGAAGCTATGGCAATGCAATGGCACCGGCTTACCAGCAAGCTTACTACTGATATAACTAATGACTACTGGCTCAAGAAATATGGTGACAACTGATAATCATGACTCAATCTGAATTTCTCTAAAGTGATATGTAATCACTAATCTAAATGGTAGCTTTATCTGTGTGTTAATCCTTAATTTCGACCTTTATCCTGCTTCTTGCTTTGCAGCAGCAGGGCTGTACTTCTGATGTTGATTAAACTTATAGTATTAGGTGTTTGTGAAAATTAATTTAGATATATATATGCTTATTAACAAATGGCTTTAGGCAGTTTAAACTTTAGCTCTGCTAGTTCTAGCTCCACAGACAACAGTTCTTCCTCAATCAATCTGGTATGTTCCTAAGGTCTTAATCTGATCTTGGATAATCTGCAGTGATGGAAGACAATTTGTGAATTGTGAATTTGTGATGGATAACCAAACAGAACGGGACCGTTAGTAAGCGGACTGTTAATGCAATTGTAGTGTTATGGACCGTTAATAAGCGGACTGTTAATGCAATAGTAAGCGGACCGTTAGTAAGACTGTTCGTAATTCGTAAACATACCGTTAATGCAATTGTAGGGTTGTGGACCATTAGTAAGCAGGTTGTTAATGTTGATGGTTTGTAAACAGATGGTTAATGCAATTGTAGTGTTAGAGGATTGTATGCGTGTGTGAGCTCCTCCGAGTAAGAATTAATCTGAATTAGTTTTAGTGGTTGATAGGGATATACACTCCCTAGTTGTAGCTGTGCGCTCGGTATCGGTCGGTGGCATCATCCCGGCCGCCTGGACCACGAAAACCAATCGGTATCGACTGATCAGGCAGTTTCCCGACTGACCTCTTCCAGATCGATTGAGCCGCGATTGGCCCTAACGTGGACAGATTTGGGACCTGCGCCCGATCGTTGCGGCTAGCGGGTCTTCGATCCCGGACACCCGGGATCACACCCGGGATCACCTGTATAGCATCGCCGCGTGGCGAGATAATACCGGACCTCGGTAACGACCGGTGCATGCTTGCCATGTGCTGAGCATGCTGGATCCCCGGAGCGTGTCTCCTCCTCCTATAAATAGGGCAGTTATTGCTATTGGAAAGAGACTTTTGACATTTAATTGAACTGGAGCCTCTTGACCCACTGTTGGGAACCCCGAGCTTCAGTATTCAGTGTTACCCGCGGGCCACTCTATGTATACCCCGAGCTTCAGTATTCAGTGTTACCCGCGAGCCACTCTACGTATACCCCTATTTACCGCATCAATGGTAAAGATACTGGACGTGGGGATGCAATTGTAAAGTCAAAAAGTTAAGAATATAATTAATATGAATTAGTCTCAGTGGTAAAGATATTGGACGTGGGGATGCAATTGTAAGGTCAGAGAATTGCATGCGTGTGAGCTAATCCAAATTAGTCTTATAGTGCTAAAGATATTAGATGCCAGATGCTATAGAAAACAAAAGATCGGACAATAATTATTTTTTAAAATTACTATCTTGTCCTTGATATTGCTTTTTATTTTATTTTCTTCCTCTTTGAAAAATGAAATTATCTATGCCACAACTTCTAAATCAGCCAAAATACAAAAATACAAAAACGTCTACTACCTGTCAATAGCTATGCACAAATGGGCAAAATATGGATAATTTTTTATAATTATTGTATATAGTCTTAGAACAAGGAAAGGTTCATTTGATGATCTGTCAAGAAATTTATATTAGCCAAGTCAAACAAATTTAAGTCCATAGTAGATATCATCCTTTTATGGAATCTTTTTCCTATATAATACAAAATTTTCTCCCCCATCTAATTATTCCCAAATATCTCATTTATCTTCTCATCATTGTCAAAGCTCAAAAGTAGAAGGTAATTACATAATTTTTTGCTTTATTTTCTTTAGATTCATGGAATAGTAGAATAATTGGGGATGCTAGACATCCCAAACGTGACAGAAAGTTTGAATCTTTGTGAGATTGAAGTTCTTGGGATCTCTTTCCTTTGTAAGTTCAATTAAGAGTTAGTAAAATGAGTTTGTTTATGTATTGTTATCTTAATTTGGTTAAAGCTGAAAGATTTTGCAGTGTAAGATGTTTGTTGGGCAAAGAAAGTGTTGCTTGTTTTGTATGTGTATGTGTCATTTTGTCGAACACTTTGTTTACCTTCTGAATGGTTTTGCTGCAGACTTGATCTGAAAAGATGGCAGAGGAAAGGACTGGGATTGCCAAGGATGTTACTGAAGTGAGTTTCATGCTCTTGATATTTTTCAGTTTCTGCAAATTTCTTTATTCTCTTGGTTTAGTACAGTATAGTATACTATATATACATCATAGATAGTTCTTATTTGATTTCTGGTTTTTGTTGTACAGTTGATTGGTAAAACTCCATTGGTATACCTGAACAATATTGTTGATGGATGTGTTGCTCGAGTTGCAGCGAAGCTGGAAATGATGGAGCCATGCTCCAGTGTTAAGGATAGGTGAATTAAAGCTAGATTATTACAAGATTTACAGTTTTCATGCATATTTTCCCAGAGACTGCTGTTTTTCTGTCTTCTAGAGTTGGTTCTTTTTGGTTAAGATTCTTAGCTTTTATCTTCTCACAGAGATTAAATGGCGTAATATTGTGTGCAGGATTGGTTATAGTATGATTACAGATGCTGAGGAGAAAGGACTCATTAAACCAGGAGAGGTGAGCCATGAGCCCATGACTGATCTATATCTTCATCTGTTTAAGTAGTCGTTTCGAGCTCTACATACAAGAGTTTATTCTTCTGTGGGTTGTTTGACTTGTTTCAAGCTCTAAATTGGCCTGAAAGTATTCCTTCTGCGATTATTTTATCCATCAAGGGAGACAGTCCAGTTCCTTTCTGTTATCTTATCCTCTTGATGTAGTAATTTGATCTGAACTTTTACTGTGATGCAAATGTTTTTTGTTGGTGAAGAGTGTTCTCATTGAACCTACAAGTGGAAACACTGGGATTGGGTTGGCATTCATGGCTGCTGCAAAGGGCTACAAGCTTATCATCACCATGCCTGCTTCCATGAGTCTGGAAAGAAGGATTCTTCTCCGTGCCTTCGGGGCTGAGTTGGTGCTCACTGACCCTGCAAAGGGAATGAAAGGTGCCATACAAAAGGCTGAAGAGATTCTGGCCAAAACACCCAATGCCTACATTCTTCAGCAATTCGAAAACCCTGCAAACCCAAAGGTTGTTTACTTTAACTTATTTGCGCACTTAAGGCGAAATTCCCTCACCCCGAGACCCCTACACCCCTGCCCGATAGGATACCTGAGGGGTAAATCATGGTGACTCAGCGGCCCATTAGGTGGAAGGACCAGTGCCTGGCTACCAAGGCTCGATCCTGTGTCCTTGCCTACCACCCAGGAACCAACTGAGCTGCCTTTGCAGGCTATTTACTTTAACTTATTGTTGCCGTAAATGGTGGAGATGTGTAGTTAATTTGCTGTTTTTATTGCAGATACATTATGAAACCACTGGGCCTGAAATCTGGAAAGGTTCAAATGGTAAAATAGATGCTTTGGTCTCTGGGATTGGCACTGGTGGCACAGTTACTGGTGCAGGCAGATTCCTTAGGGAACAGAATGCCAACATAAAGGTTAGCTTTGGTTTTCAACTGGAAAAAAAAAGGGTTAAATTCTTGTGCTGACTGGAAATTGTTTGCTTTTGGATTGGCACTGTGTTTTAGCTGTATGGAGTGGAACCTGTTGAGAGTCCTATTCTCAATGGAGGAAAGCCAGGTGAGCTTGATCCCGAGACTTCCAGTCTTACACCTATGCCACTAGACTACAAGGTCTTGGCAAAACACGAATGGTGTTTTTAAAACTATATTTGACATTTAACTTTCATCTGATGCATAAGGTCCACACAAGATCCAGGGAATCGGGGCCGGTTTCATCCCTGGAGTGCTGGAAGTTGATCTTCTGGATGAAGTAATTCAAGTAAGATATGAACCTGTTCTTCTTCTGCAGGGACTTTAAGTTGCTGTCTTTTGACTAACATAGTTTTTATCTGTGATTTTACACCAAACCAGATCTCTAGTGATGAAGCCATTGAAACTGCAAAGCTGCTTGCAGTGAAAGAGGGATTGCTTGTAAGCCAAAAACTCCATTTCAATTCCTTCCCCATTTTATCCAGTAAAATCTGAACACTGAACATGTACTGCAGGCGGGAATATCATCTGGTGCAGCAGCAGCAGCTGCAATCAGACTCGCAAAGCGGGCAGAGAATGCGGGGAAACTCATTGTGGTATGTGCTTGCTTGCCTTCCCCGACAGTCTCACTATCAGTTTAAACTTTTAGAAGATATAATCGTGTAAAATGGCTGTTATGCTATGACGCTTTTCCGTTCGAGCAATGCAGACACTAACTGCAGTCGTTTGCAATGTTGTGCAGGTTGTTTTCCCGAGCTTTGGAGAGCGTTATCTTTCTTCTGTGCTCTTTGAATCCATTAGGCATGAAGCTGAGAATATGACCTTTGAGTCTTGAAGTTCTTCTGGGGATTCAAGTCAAATTGTTGGTTAACTATATTAAACATCACAGAAATTGTGCTTTTCCAGATCAAGATTCTGTCAACTGTTTGAATATTGTGGAATGTCTGAAATAAAGATGATGCTTTTCTAGACTAATTTAGCCTCCCCAACATAAAGTTTGTGCATTTTCTATCCATTGTTTGATATCAATGCTTATGCTTTTATAGTCATATATGAATGCTTATTTCCAGCAAATGCAAGAGTAATACCTGGATAGGACAGGTCTAAGTTTGATGTAGTGCATTTTGATTCACTAATCATTAAAATATGTCACCACCTTGTGATCGGAACTGACCCCGTGGGCTTGGGATGATCAACCCGACCGGGACACATGGCTCTATTTGTCTATTTCTATCTGGCTCGGGATGATCAACCCGACCGAGACACATGGCTCTATTTGTCTATTTCTATCCAACCACTGGAGGAACAGAAACGTTAGGAACTTTCACATACGTGGAGGAAATCGACAACGCCCTTGACTGGCCCTGTGCATAACTGCATAAGTCACATGTGCCGCTCCCTTCTCACCCTATAAATAACGCATTTAATATCTTGAGGCGGGACTTTTGACATTTCTGCCTACCCTTAATCAGCTCGGAGGGTCGTTCTGACCCACTTTCACTTATTTCTGACCTACCCTTAATCAGCTCGGGGGACATTCTGACTCACTTTCACTTCTTCCCGACCTACCCTTAATCAGCTCGAGGGACGTTCTGAACCACTTTCACTTCTTCCCGAGTTCAATTACTTAAACCAACAAGCAGATTTGTACCATCCTACAATCTGTATACATACGCTTATCTACATATCCCGTGTATTTACCAATATATTGCATGGAATAATTTTTGGTTTCAACCTGACTAACTGTTCAACTGATTTTGAGAAACACAAGAAATTGGGAATTTGGTCCATTTCCAGTCCATCTCTGAACTCTCCCCATGCCATGGCCGCCATAGCCACTGCTTCAGTCTCCTCTCCACTTACAACCATTGCACCCGGCGCCGCCCATCCCCGCCACCTCTCTACCGCCATCTCCTCAGCGGCATCCCTCTCCCACCTGAAGCAAATCCACGCCCAAATCTTCCGCAACAACCTACACCGCTCCAACTCCCTCCTACTCGACTTCGTCCTCTCCTCACTCCCCTTCTCCTCCGACTACGCCCTCGCCGTCTTCTTCAACATCCACAATCCCGAACCCCACCTCTGCAACAAGCTCTTGCGCAAACTTTCCCGTTCCCGGGAACCTAGAAAAGCCCTCTTGGTTTTTGGGGCTCTTCGGAAGAAAGGCTTTTCCGTTGACCGGTTTGGTTTTCCGCCCTTGCTGAAGGCGGCCTCGAATGCTTTGGCTCTGGTGGAGGGGAGGGAGATTCATGGGTTGGGGTGTAAGCTTGGGTACGATTCGGACCCCTTTGTACAGACTGCATTGCTTGGGATGTATGCGTCTTGTGGGTTGATACCAGAGGCCCGTCGGGTGTTCGATAAAATGTCTTACAGGGATGTTGTCACTTGGGATATAATGATTGATGGGTACGATAATTCAACCTTATAAAACCAAAATGTGATTATTTTTGTGTCAAAATTACGTTTTTTGCATGAATTTTTTTTTTTTTTAAGAGGGCTGTTTCTTTACTACTGTGTTATGGATGTTCAAAGGTTTCGGTTTATATGTTTCCTTAATTATCATTTTGTTTGTAAGTTTCATCAATTCCAGCCTTGCAAATGCCCAGTTTTGAAGTTTGTTTCAATTGGATTGAATGTTTCTTGGTTGATAACTCTATTTTTGCCTTCTGTTTTAATGTGGAAGACAGTTACTGTGAGAGTGGGCTTTTTGATGATGCATTGTCATTGTTGGAAGAGATGAAGAGCTCTGGTGTAGAAACAGATGAAAGGATTTTCACAACCATCCTTTCTTCCTGTGCCCGAGCTAGGAATCTAGCTGTAGGCAAACAGATTCATAACTTCGTATCTGAGAATGGCATCACGATTGACTCTCAGTTGCAGACTGCTCTAGTCAACATGTATGCGAGTTGTGGCTCCATGGATGTGGCTCAGAGTTTGTATGACGAATTGTCACCAAAGAATGTGGTGGCCTCCACAGCCATGCTTTTTGGATATTCTAAAGTTGGGCAAATTGAAGCTGCTCGCTTGATATTTGATCGAATGGCAAGCAGGGACTTGGTTTGCTGGAGCGCTATGATATCTGGTTATGCAGAAAGTGATCAGCCCCAGGAAGCTCTCAAGTTATTTAACGAAATGCAAGCTGCATCTAGAATTAAGCCCGACCAAGTTGCAATGTTGAGTGTCATTTCGGCAAGTGCTAATCTTGGTGCATTGGATCAAGCTAAGCATATTCACATGTTTATCAAGAAGAATGGTTTCGAAGAAGATTTGCGTATAAACAATGCCCTTATTGATATGTACGGTAAATGTGGGAGTCTGGATGGAGCAATAGGTGTTTTTGACCGGATGCATAGGAAGAATGTTATATCTTGGACAAGTATGATCAATGCTTTTGCCATGCACGGAGATGCAAACAATGCCTTGCTGCTTTTTAATCAGATGAAGCATGAGAAAGTTGAGCCCAATGGGGTTACGTTTTTGGGTCTTTTATATGCTTGTAGCCATGCTGGACTGGTTGAAGAAGGACAAAAAATGTTTTCATCAATGGTGAATGAATATGGACTGGTGCCAAAACATGAACACTACGGTTGCATGGTAGACCTCTATGGCCGTGCAAACCTTCTTAAAGAAGCCCTTAAGGTTATAGAGACTATGCCAATGGCCCCAAATGTAGTCATCTGGGGCTCCTTAATGGCAGCCTGTCGGATCCATGGTGAGTTTGAGTTAGGAGAATTTGCTGCAAAACAGATTCTTGTGTTAGAACCAGACCACAGTGGTGCCCATGTTTTATTATCGAACATTTATGCCAAAGAAAGGAGATGGGGAAATGTTAGAGAGGTGAGAAAATTGATGACACTCAATGACATATCGAAGGAACAGGGCTGCAGCAAGATCGAAATCAACCAGGAGATCCATGAATTTTTGACGGCAGACAGAAGTCATAAACGAGCAGATGAGATATACGCAAAGCTGGATATAGTGGTTGATAAACTGAAAGAGGCAGGATATGCCCCAGATACCAGTAGTGTTTTACTCGACTTAGACGAAGATGAGAAGAAGGATGCAATTCTTTGGCACAGCGAGAAACTAGCGTTTTGTTATGGACTAATGAACAGCGAAAGAGGCTCTAGCATACGCATCATCAAGAACCTAAGGGTCTGCGAGGACTGTCATAACTTTATGAAGTTGGCATCGAGGGTGTTTGATAGGAAAATTGTTATGAGAGATAGGACTAGATTTCATCAATATGCAGATGGCCTCTGCTCATGTAAAGACTTCTGGTAAGTCTCGAGATTATTGTTTATATAATATATATAATACACTCTTTGTTGAATATACTGCTCAACTGAAAATGAATCTCTAGCTGCATAACAACATATGCCTGAAGAATATATATATACAATTAATGCTACCAAAATACTGTCTCTGGTACCAGACAACTATATGTTGAACTTGAAGCACTAAATATGAATATGAAGAAAGATTAAAAGTCTTCTCAAGAGGACTGAGAATTAAACATTGTTCCTAAGTTGGGACACTGAAACTTTCTGCTCTGAGGTCACTAAACTCTGAGTTTCCAAAGGCAGACAGAGACCAGAACTCCATTTTCATCTTTTCAAGCTCTCTTGCAAGCTTGAACTTCAGAAACTCCATTGTTGCAGAAACCAGTTTTGCGTTTTCCTTGATGGGACTTTCACTGTATTCAAGAATCCATGTATTGGGATCGAGCTGCACAGCAGAAGAACTCCATCTTCCTTGTGTCCATGAACTGTTAACGCCCCGAACTGAATACCCAAACTCTCCATTCTTCCACTGGTAAAACAAGAAAACGAAATGCAGAACACATCAAACTTAATGACTTGGATGAACTGGGAAAAAACTATTGGAAGAATTTGAATCACCTCTGTCAATCTTCCTGATAAGAGAGTGAAAGATCTGGAAGTGTACTCTGCAGTGAGCAATCCAGCAGTCTGCAATGGCCATCCCCAAATGCTCACCTCCTCTGTGATGGACTTGTACAAGGTACATCGCGAAGTCAAGAGTAACCCGTCCTAGGAAATCCATTCATAGTCAAGAATAATGCAAGAAAACATCATTGGAAAAGAAAAAAAAAAAACAAAGATGAATGAGGTTTCAAGAACATGAAAATGGCAGACCTGATTAACCCTCCACACAGAATTGTCAGAGCTGCAATTTGACACCTCTTCATCAACCAACCCTTGTAGCTCATTCCTCAAAAAATCCAATCTTTCATTCCAATCATTCAAACCATTCAAACCCCATGATTTCCCACTCAAATTCCTCACAACATCCATGGACAATTCAGAATCCAAAACCCCAGAAATCATAGGGGAAACCCCATACTCCAGCCAGTAAACTAATCCCAACCCAAACAACACCCTCATCATCACAACCCCACACCCGAACCCCCTCTCCTTTCTCTTCTTCTTCTCATGAAATTTCACCCTCGCCCCCGAATCCAATTCCGAGGAAACCGAACCAGACCGACCACCACTCGAATCCGGAGTCGAAAAGCTCGAAGAATTAAAGAAAACAGGGCTTCTGGGAACCTCGCGGTGGGAGACTTGGCGGCGCTTCACGGCGGAGAGCTTAGTGAGAGTGCTCCTCTGGACGCTCTCCGTCATCAAATCAAGAGTCGCATTCATGCTGGCTATGCATATACTGCAGTTGCAGTTGGCGTCTTTCCGGCACCCCGGAAAATAGCAGCTGTCTCTGGTCTCAGATTCCACGGTGGTGGATGATTTCGTAGAGGAAGGCGGCGTCGAAACTATCGATTTCATGGTTCTCTGCAAATCTAAAAGCATTTCGACTTTCTTTGATTTAAGCCTCTTCTTGTTTATACAATACGGTTCTGAGTTTCAGGGGAAGGAGAAAAGTTATGGCGGTTTGAAATTTAAATCTCTAACGGTCATATCCTCCGAGTTCGATTCAAACATGGCATATGGATGATTTCATCCCATAAATGCCCCTACAAGGCTGCAACGTCTATTCCATTTTCCTTATAGTTTATTTTTTCTTATGGTATAATAATTATTTGAATTCTTTTAAGTTTAGGAATTTATGAAATTTCTAACTATATAAAATGAACAAAATCTGAAGTCTTTGAAGTTACTATAATTTCTCACGTTTTTGACATATATTGCATTTTAAGTTAGAACGGTTCAATTTTTAAAAAAAAAAAAAAAAAAAAGTTAGAACGGTTTACAATAACTTTTAAATTGTGTTATATATTAAACGAGCGTGTTTATAATTATTGAGAAGCAAAGTTTATGATTTTTGAATTATTGAAAAGGCACTATATTTTGAAAGGAAAATGTGACTTGGATGATGGACCGCCTAGTGTGCATGCTTCAATCAAGTTATGTCACTTCTAGTAAGGATCCAATCAATTCTTTAACTTTGGCCATATAAAACAGCCAAAACACGTGTCGCGTGTTAAATGAAATTCGTCCTGTTCTATAACTATTACAAATATTTTTTTGTATCTCCTAAATCCGAGGTATAGAAATAATGTTCTTCAATTTGATGACTTCATAAGTTTCATTTATTGTAGGGATAACCCCAACCAAATTAGTCGAACAATTGACTTGGTAACTACAAGACTCTAGTTCAACTCACTCTGAGATTTTCATTGATGGTGTGATTTTTTTCCAGTTAAGGTCACAAGACATCACTCTAAGGTTGTTTATTGACGATCTTGGTGTAATCTTTTGCCAGTTAGGGTCACAAGACGTGTTTCATCCAAAATGTACTTTCGAGTGTAGCGGTGTAGGCTTTCCTGTAGATCAAAATTTCATTTATTGTAATTATGCCAAAACCCATAAGTGACCTAATCAACCACTTTATATACTGGTGGACAACATAGGACCACCTCAATATATAATCTGATTAATTAGCCTATTCTTGATAGATTTGTTGCAGGCCACTCTTTAGACACTGCAAATATGCTGTACCAGCCAACTTCCAAACAGATGTCATCTAACTTCCTTGTATTCTATCATACCATCCCAATAATCTAAGACTGAGGTAGCATTAGATTCTTGTTGTCCAGCCATGAGCCATCCTGTCTGTCTGGGGGTCTAAGATTATCATGGCGTCACTTTACACACCATGTAATAATAACCAGATCAGAAGTATTATGGCATGACCATCTGGAATTCATGAATTCAAACAACGTTAATTAGGCAATACGTGTTTTGATGTGGTTTAAAGAATGGAAATGACAGCATTTTTTGCTGTATAGACACTATGGCATCTGTAGATAATTCCATTTGACAATCAGTATCAGAGGAAGTCACGAGTTGTTTGAGTCCTCCAGAAGTGTTCAAGTTTGCTTATGGTATTGGTTATAACTTATGGCATAATTTGATTCGTTTGAATCCCTTGGAAGACATGTTGTGCACTAAATGGCGGGCAAGTGGGCCTACGCTATCTGCTATAATTTTTGGCATAGTTTAGATTTCTTGAAAGACATTGTGCACTTTATGACTGTCAGGTGTGGCTTTACTATTTGTTATAACTTTTGGCATAGTTTAAATCGCTTGGAAGATATAATGTGCACCTTTGTGGCTAGTAGGTAGCTAGACCTTCACTGTTTGTTATAACTTTTGACACAGTTAGAATTCTGGGAAGGCATGCTATGTGCTAGATGGCAGGTGACGCCTCCGCTATCATCTATAACTTTTGGCATAGTTAGTTTGGATTCTTTGAAAGGCATGTTGTGCACCTTATGACTGACGGGTGTGCCTCTAGTATTCACTATAACTTCCGGCATTGTTCAAATTCCTTGGAAGGCATACTGTGTGCACCTGATAGCGACACGTAAATCCCCGTTATTCACTATAACTTTTGGCACAATTCAAATTTTGGGTAGGCATTCTGTGCCCTGGATGGCTGGTGGGGCCTCCGCTATCGAGTATATGCTTTAGGCGTAGTAGTAAATGCTTGGTCCCACGACTACGTGATGGTTATATCACGTGGGATAACGACGGTTAGCCGTGTGATTAGAGGAATGTTTTTCAACAATTGATCAAGACTGGAAGAGCTATTCTATGGTCATGAAGGATCAATTAAAAACTGTTTTCATCATTGAAGTCCTAATCAAATTTATTCATTATTATTATTATTATAGAAAAAAAGGATGCTGCTGAAATCATTGAAATCAAAGTCACAAGGTAGTTGAGACTTGAGATCATATACAGTCTGTGTCTGTCATGACACAGTTGGTGAACTAATTGGTGTTATTTGACAGATCAACATATGTAATAAGTTCTGTGGTGACTCATCCTTTAAATTAAACCGGTCCAGACTGGTGAATTAGCTCTACTGACCATATTGTCTGCATCTGGGATCATCACAAACATGAATCTGGGTAATCCGCTAATAATTCCCCATTTGCTTTTCTTAAACATCCTTAAATCCCTCAAAAGTTGGTGGAGATTAAAGTAATCTTATCCAAAATTAAAGCACTTGCAGCTTATATCATTACTCGGGTCTTTTTGATTTATGAGAAAGCCTGCAACCGCTATTTGAAGGTACGCTCTGGGTGAAACCTATCAGATTAGTTTAGGTTGTCTATAGCTGATCGGTTCAAACCAAGAAGACCAATAGACAACTCACACATGAAATTAAACTCGAAACTTTGTGTTTACCAAACCAACTGTCTGACCAACTTGACTGGAGTTGTCCAAGAAAGTTGACTTTATCAATTAAAGGGTGCTATACCATGCATCACTTTTTGTGTAGGGCACTTTATACTTACACCATCGCGGGACTAATTCAAATTCGACCTCAGTTTTGCCTGCAAAGTTTGGCTTTTATTCGGGAAAAAGGCTTGACCCGAAATTCTTTAAAATGCCACATACATACAAAGGTCAATTAGAAATGCAACAAATGCAAATGTAGTCTGATGTTGTGTTCAGAAATGGTAACTATGGTGTTTGGTAATTTTTGACACTTCCAAAGTTGAGATGATTAGTCTTCCTTGTCTATTGAAAAAGTGTTATTTGACTTCTCAGAAACCAATTAATTACTGTAGAGACAAAAGAAAAGGAAAGCAAAAAATGAGCAATAACAGAAGGAAAGCCAAAACTATGTTGCAGACTTGCAGCCTCCATTGACCAACATACTATGTACAAGAAACCATGATCATGGGATATAGGATTTGCCAAGAAAAAGGTTGTTATACCTTAATTCAACCAAAGTTGAGATTACCCTTTTTTTTGCTTCATCCCCACCCCCCCCCCCCCCCCCTCCCCCCTTTTTTTTTTTTTCTTTTAGCCAAAAAAAAAAAAAAAAGAAAAGAAAGAAAAGGATTGGACCCGAACCCCGAGAGCTCGATCATTGTTTCCTAGTAATAGGAGATGGAAGAAGCAGGGGTGGTCGCTGATCTCGAATACTTCTTGGAAGGAGAGGGCGACGATGCAAGATCGCCCGATCTTCTCCTTAGCATCTGCCTCATCCCATCTGCGACTCGAATGGCGGGATTCGATTTATATTTTCGACAGAAAGACATGTGAGCCTTGACAGCTTCTTCTGTGCCAAATTGCTGCATGTTCTTCCCTCTGATAGCCTCATCCCTGACAGCTTCAGAGCACAAACCACACAGCCATTTCCCATCAAACTTTGCCTTCACCTCACTGATGTAGTCTTGAGTGCAGTCTTCTTTCAATCCACAGCACTCACACTTTGCCAATTCTATGTCCATATTAGTATTTCCTTCTTTAATCTTTCTGCTTCAAGAATATATGATATGATGATATGATTGGCTTGAAACAAGAATGTGCAGTATAGTAGTTTACTGAGTTTCTTGGTAGGGGAGAATTTGCAGGATGGAAAGTGAGAGAGAGAGAGAGAGAGAGAAAGAGAGAGAGAGAGAGAGAGGTGGGAAAACAAGGGGGGCAAGGGAGGGAACTTATACTAGGGAAAGCAGCCATGATTTCCTCCATTTCCTAAGGAACATAGGGCAGTGGAAAATGAGACAATTTGGTCTGGAGGGGGGGCCTGGTATGTGGTCCTATTCTAGGATTTATTATTATTATTATTATTATTTAAAATTTCATTTTTGGGTAATTAAGAAGAATTTTTATTGGGACAACCCAGGCACCCAACTGGTCAGCCAACCATAATGTTACAAGTTCGACTATCAACCTTCTTAATTAGATTGAGCCCGTTAGCTATGGAGAAAACTATGCTAGTTTACCTCCTTGTAACCCTTTACCAGATAAGATCACATGTGCGATTTATCCAATGCATATTCTTGAGTAGTTGCTATAAATTTTCCTCACTCAAAAAGAATTTTTATTTTTATTCTTGTTTTACTGCAAGAATAACTGAATAAGTGATAATAAATTCATTAATGATATTTGTTTATATAATTTATTACAACTACAAACTTATATTATCCCCACCATGTGGTCCTTTTCTAGGATTATATTTAAAGTTGTTAATAGGCCATGGATTTATTATTAGTATTTCTTTATCTTGTTAATGGTATCTGATATAATTATGTGTAAATATTAAGTATTATCAGTAATTGTTTATAATAATATCGGATATAATCATGTATGTGTATATGATACGATCGACATCTTATGAACTTGATCGTACTAGAAATTGTTCAAACTAGTATTATTGTGTGACTCAAATAATGTATACTCATCAATAATATTGCAAAATAAATGTTTATATATTATATACGGTATACACCCATGAATATTCTAAATATACTAATTAATTACATGAGAGGGAAAATAGGAATCGAAATCCAAATTTCATTGTCAAAAAAAAAAAAATACTTTAAAAGAACACTCAGCTTATAGAATAGAATAAGAGAAACAAGAGTCGGCATGGACTTAACTCAATTGTTTAGAAGGAAGGTAGTATTTGAGAAAAGAATAAGAGAAATAAGATGTTGAGTCTCTTATAGAGATTCATTCTTTTCAAAAGGTTGAACCCCAACCCTGGCCCGACATATCAGAGCATCTGAGAGGATATAAATCATGGTAACTCAACTGAATATGAACCACATAGGTTAGATATTTGCTTACTGCGCACAATGAGCCTCCCTCACTTTGAAAGATTGCTTCTACACAGTCACTGATGAGACTCAATTTCTGATCATTCTTTTCAATTTTCACCTCTATGACCACTTGAGTCTCTTAAGTTATAGAGATTCATATACATGCCCCAATGCTACTTAGATTAGATGATACCGTCTCGGGAAGGGTTTTGTCATTTTGTGTTTATAGTTATGCAAATTTATGTGTCAACTTTATAGGGGTAGTTTTTGGTGATTGACATTTGATTGTTACTTTCGGTTGAAATTTTGGATTTGTTTCACTTTAATTTGGCTTTAACTTGGCTCTTGGGCTGGAAATGACACGCCTACACATGCTCACAAATATATATATATATATATATATATATATATATATATATTACAAACACACGGAGTATATATCATAATTACATCCCATATATATGTGTACACATGTATATACATACACTGGTGCACACATATAGAGATGAACCTAAATGCATGCTAGCCTGTCAGCAAACCAAATTCCACAATAACTACCTCTGTGTCGTCATTCAATCTACTTTACCACCAAAGAGAATAACACAAAAAGTTTTCCAAGTTGAAGGACTTTTATAATCATAATCACTCTTTTTTTTTTCTTCCTATTTTGAATTATTATGTCTAATGTTGTTGGACGACCATTGCATGCATGATGCATCGATCACATATTCCGATTATTGGAGATGTATTTCAACTCCTAAAATTATAATAAACGTTAAATGGTGCTCATAATGCCAATCAATGTGTCTTAATTAACTAACATTATATGTATATGTAGTGTATTTTTTTTTTTCTAACATAGAATTTTTCTAGTACGGTTTAGTACGTTCTCATGTGTGTTTTATGAGTTATTACACAAAAATAAAATTTACATTGTGTATACCTTCGAGTAGTACAAGTGACTGCGTGCCTCGTCACTCAAATTTTTTATTTTTTATTTTTTTTGAAAAAATCGACAATTATAAATATTGTGACTAAGCCAAACAAGCACAATTAATTGTTAGGATATGCCAAATTAAATATGCCCGCACGGACTTAACTCAATAATTTATTAGTAGGCAGTATTTGATCGAGAGAAGAGACCAATGTTTGAACCTCAGCGGCGATATTGTGGGGATTATGTTCAAAGTGGACAAATCCCTTGTACCTTTTGCCTTGTCTGCACGCGCCCATCTTGGCATTGCTGTGCGCGAAACACGCACTGTCTCGATTTGCAGATGAAACATTGGGTAAAGGATAAGCTACAATTACTGTTCCAAAAACCCATTTTTGCAGATGAATCAAATTATTCTCTCTCTAATTTGTCAGTCATCATGCATTATTCCAATATCCACTAAATAACTCTAATGATTACAAATTTTGCCCGTCATCAATTTTTTTTTTAAAATTATTAATTTGATTTTTTTTAACACGTACAAAAAAGATTGCATGGTCTGCATTTCTAGGCCTAAGTGTCAATATCATGGACTTATTAATCTTTCAGATTCATATATATAGAACATGATGTTTACAAACTTCAAAATCTCAACCTCCCATTTTTCTTTTTTGGCCTTTTTATCGATTTTTAGTATAGCCTTAAACTTATATCAATAATATATATGTCCGCGCACACATATATATATTTACTTATTGTGTATCGACACGTTGTTAGTGTAATTATCACCTTAACTATCAAGTGCGATAACTCTTAGGTTTTCCAAAATTATTAATGTTTGTTTTGGTTGGTTTACGGCTGTTTTCCTAGGCCATTTGGTATAATGTTATAATCATCATGTCAAATTGAATAGGTTAGTAATCCAAGTGTGCAAATATTGTCCATTCTTATTTTATGCTAATTAATAATCTTTTATTAATTTCAACCACATTTTTCTTGCTATATATATGTCTAGGACTGAGCTTACTTGTACTCAAAAATGTTTGATCTTTTATTAAATTATTTTAGATGAGTGTGACAACAGGAGAGGAACTGAAACCTTATCGACTAAACCAGATCCTCCAATTCCATAATATATATTTTTTTAAAGAAGATATTTTGGTGTGAAACCACTAATATTTTATACGGATATTCGATGATGTGCAGTAAGTGCAAACCACATAAGAGACATAAACCGCACTAGGAAGACCTGATGTGACAGGCTCGATTGAGGTGTTAGCAACAATCCAACTCGTATTTTTCTAATACGAGATTCGTGTTCCACATAATTGTCAATAGAAGAAGATTTAATAATTAGAATGGTAATTATTGATTAAGCTTTACATAATTGATTATTATATTAATGAGAAATAATTCATCAGTTTATATATGGGCCATAAAATATATATATATAAAAATAATAGTATAAAGTATAAACACTTCAATAGTAAAAATGATGATATTGAGGACAACCTTAGTTGAGTTGGTCGGAAGTTGATTTGGTAATTACAATGCTATAAATTTAATCTTTTATGGGAGTTTCCTATATACCTTCTCGGATTTGAATCGGTTAACTATAAGCAGCCTAAGTTAGTTTCACCTGGGTTCAATCCTTTCGTAATCCAAAAAAAAAGATATTGGGTGATGTTAATTTGATTTGACACAAAAGCAATTCATGGTCCATGTATATATATATATATATATATATATATATATATATATATATATATATATATATATATATATGTTGTTAACTTGCTACAACTTCTCTTTTTATTTTTTTATTTATTTATTTTGGAGCTCTATAAAGTTGAAGTGATATGCTAACTACATCAAAATTGCAACTTTATCCCTACTTTTAATTATACCAATTATATCCAAACTTATCAAATTACAAGTAGTTGTAATATTTTAGTTACTTTTTGGGTACCAACATTATTTGATATATATAAACAAAAATTACATTTGATGACTATTGACTAAGCTAACAATTGAAAGTTGAAGAGAAAAAGAGCCTTGAATTGGATTTTATTTTCTTGGCTAATGATATTTTGGAACTATTTATGGAGAAATTCGGAAAGGAAGGATTATTAACGTTGTATAATTCATCAAATTGACAAAGGTCATGTTTGGTAACATAATTAGCTTATTAGTTAATTTTGACTTATCATTATTAGCTGTTTGACTTGATTAAACATTTTAATATGCTTTTTGTAACAATTTATTGCTAAAAAATGTTAAAATTCAAAAAGCTAATTCGCTTTTTCGATCAGTTTTTTGAGAAAGTCATTGATGTAATCAGCTATCAGTAACAATTAATTTACCAAACATTTTTCTACGATCAACTAATGTTGTCAATTACTCAAGTAACCCACTAACCCAATCAGCTTTTGTAATTATTTCTTTAATTATATTCACTGACATTAAGAAAAGGAGCTTGATGCAAACTTATCAATACTTTTGTCTATTAATTTGCCTCTTATTTAGAAAGATCATGAAATGCATGTTCTCCTCAAACTTTAACTATTTTGTCTATTCTCCTTACAAGCAAACAATCATGAAAATCTGCTATCATCATATCATTTCCTGCCTTCAATTCCCACCACTACAATTAATAAGTGTTGATTCAACAAGACTTACCATATTTGTTATTAACAATAGAAACCCCTAAACCTAACAATTAGTCATACCAAAAACTGAATTGCTTATGAAACCAAACCTCAAATTCTCCGATTTGGTTAATCCAAGGGATCGGAGCGAGAGTTTTCTTGTCTTCCTAAAGACATGCATGCATGCACCCAGGCAAGGCCATGTCATCTTGCCCTGTCAAAGAAATTAAAGCTACCTAGCTAGCAAATTAAAGTCTTCCACGTATCTTCCGTCCCAATAGTAGAACACTGCTAAAAAAATCATGTATTTTCGATTGGATTAAAATGAAATTCCAACTTTTCGTTTCTTGTTGAA